ATTGCCGGGCGACCATGGAGAGACTGCCAAACCAACAGCAGCGAGCGTGATCAGCTACTGGAACCCTTGCTAAACGCGTCATTAACACCACCCCAAGAAAACTTGACGCGAGGCTCGTGACTGATCATGTAGGGTGGACCCCAACTTCGAGACTTAAGGCCGTCGTGGAGGATTCTTACCATTCCCCCCCCCCCCGCCCCCGCCCCCCTCCCCCCCCGCAAAAGGTGGGCGAAGCCAACATGGACATGCTCATCGGCGCGCGGAAAGATCTCGGCCAATCAAACGGGAGCAACCTTATTCGCTCGCGCGTGGTCATGTTCGCCGACTTGCCCGGGTTCAAGGTGGGTCAGTGGTCAGTGGTGTCCGGCCTACGATGTAGAGCAGTAGTGATCCTAGTAAAACGCCGGTATTATCCATTGATGCCGGAGGGATCCAGCCGATTTCACAGACATCATAGCGGGCAACCGGCATTGTTGAGAGTATGAAACAGCTTGAATATTCCACCTGTGCCAGACGGTTTCACCGGCATCTTCAGAGCAACCGACATTTTCTCGATGGGCGTTTATTCCGGAATCACTACTCTAGTCTGTATCTGCAATATTGTAGAAGGTGCACGTCGAATGCGCTTGTCCGCTCATTGGCCCCATAGCGGTGTCCTCATTCACACATGGGAGTGTGGCATCGTCACATGTACCTGTCCTGTCCTGTATTTTGGCTTAGTCCAATGGAGCGACAAATAACTTTCGCCTGTGGCACTCCCCAAACCACGTGTAGGTATTTCGTGTATTGCCCCTCCCCCTGCCTAGCTATGCCAATGGTCTAACGACTACGGCATGCACGACTATGAGTACCCCACCCCCCCTGCCTAGCTATTGTCGCCAAGCCTTAGAAGGTCTTATATACGCGAACTTTTTCCGAGAGGCAGACAGTCAAGAGTCTTGAGAGAGCGTGTCCATTTGTCCTTGCTTGTCGGTAGAAGTAAGCCAAACGCGAGCAAGGGGGCAGCTACCAGCATACACCCAAAATTGTGACATGGCCAGTGGGTCGAGTATGGCGTACAGATGAAAGCGACCGATGCGATGATGAGCCCTTCCGCCGCGCCGCCGCTGCTCCTCTTCCTCTTTCGATGTGGTCGTTGTGCTTATCCTCATCCGGGCACCCCTTCAGGCCATGGGCATGACCGGGCCAACAATCATCCTTGGTTCCGATGTTCTCAAGCTTGGCAAAGGGGCGATGATAGTCTCCTTCGTTAGCAAGAAGGTTTGGCTCGCCTTGTGATCCCAACAACACGAGAAGATGCTTCGCTGGGGAAACAATGGGCCGGAGGGATGCTTCTGCATGTTCCCATTTCGTCGCCAGACATGGCGACCAACGAGGGACTGCCATATCTCCGTCCGGTCGACTTTGTCCACCGCTGAACCAGAACCTACACTTTCTTTTGTTGCAGAGAGATTTGAGTCTCCCGGTGTGCTGTGGAAAATGTCGAACGAGAGCGCTATTTTGGAAAAGCCGGATAGTTCATGGGAGCAGGAATTTGTTGTTCTTTTTTTGCCGGCGAGAAGACGATCGCAATTTCGAAACAATTGGTTTCAATGTTTCGTTTGGTCGAGGTAGGTCCCTTCTTAATTCGTACCATGGTATTCCGAATAGACGCACCCCCTTTTGAGGGGCTCACGGCAACCTAAGTCAGTGCGATGTCCCCCAGGTTTCAACGGTAAACGGGAATAACCGTACTTCGGCGGCGCCCCCCCCCCGCTTTTTTTTCAAGAAAGTTTTGAACTGATCGACTTTTCGTTCCACGTCTCAATCGGATTCTACAAGTATCGAATTGGAACCCGTACCCAGCTTGTACAAGTTTTGAGTGAGGTACTGCTGTAGTCCACATGTTTTGTGGGGCCGGCGAGGGCTGTTTCAACTATATGGAACGCTTTTTACATTTTTCAATCATGTGTCTTGGACGACAGAGTTTTTCGCGAATGTCCGAACATCCACTTATTAGTATTTGCTCGTTTCAGCTTGTTGTTCGCATTCGCTCGCTCCGCACGAGTCGCTGAATATTGAAAATGTGACGCTGTCTCGTTCCACGTTCGGCACCGCACTCCTGACCCGAGGATTAGCAGTTTATGTATAATGAATGTATAGCTGACACGACGGTGGTGGTTGTGACGAAATATTATGTCAATTGAGCCTCGTCGTGAGAGCTAGAGGAAGGGGGAGAACAACAGCGGTACAGCACGCAACTCGGTTCCGTCTGTTTGCAGACGGCTGCACGAAGAGAACGACGAAATATTTCGGTCTTCTGGGTCTCCTATTTTCTGGCCGGTGCTGTTTTGTACGTGTACTGTGTTGTACAATACTTCGAAGTAATGCCCCCGATCTTGAAGACGGGTGTGCGAACGAACAACAGCAGTGTACTTTCTCCCGCTCTTCGACTGAATCTGGTGTCCGAGACAGGCACATCACAGCAGCAGCAGTAGTACCGACGACACATAAATATGTTAATTGAGAAGGCACGTAATAGTAGCAGGTCGTCCTCCTCCTACTACGCTGGCAAACGCCAAATGACTGCGGTTGGGCGGGGCAACAGTACTGCTGTAGTCGCCAAATGCCGCAGACGGCTACTACACAATCAATCTTACACAACTGGCCTCTCTGCTGTACCGCCAAACCATCTCGTGGTATGCATATCACCAACAAGCTGTCTACCCAGGTAATAGGTACATAGATAGGCGGCAGTTCCGATCTCATAGTGCCACATGTGACAGAGGCATCTTTGCCTCCGCGTAACCGCCGAGCAGTCAATATTGACACGCAAGGCCGCAATCATGATATATATGCGCACGTGCAATGCGTCTCTTTTCTCGAGCGAGTGAACCTACTGGTCTATGTAAAAAACCCAGCAAGCTAGCACAGCACTGTCAGAACGAAACGCCTTACTTCATTTAGTTCAACTTGCACGAGGCGTACATACGTACGTGGTAGATAGATACTAGGTCTACATCATTATCATGCACCTTGTACAATGAACGCATTGCGTAGAATAAGAGATCCTGATCAGCCCTTTTTGTGGGTACATACAGTACAGCAGTAGCCACAGCGGTATGCAGGCCACATCATTGCATGTCCGGTTCGTTCCACCAGTTAGTTGGCGCCAGCCTACACAAGGTATGCATACCTTTCTGACACATCAGACGGGGTCGCACAGGAAGGGGAAAAGGTTAAGGTTTGTACACAACAAGACGGTTTTCATGTTGTTGTCAACGTCCTTGCATTAACCGTTCGTCCTGCGGTATTTTGCCGTTTGCGGCAGTTTGTTTTCGGAAGGGTGCGCGTGTGTGTTGTTGTTGACTACATATATATGCATAGAGAAGTACCTCCGTTGTACACGCCAAGTGGAACCTAAACAAAACATGCGCGCATGTCATCAGCGAAGGTGGACGTTGGGGCTGTTTACATATGCGTACCCTGCTGGCACAGCATTGTGTAGGGTGAGGTGTCGGCCCACTTATAAGAAACACCTATCCTCTGATTGGTACATACATAGAAAGACTCAACGAAGACATTCCAGCCATCCATTGGAGCCGACGCACGGCTCAAGTCATTGCGCCTTTTTCCTGTTCCTTTTTTTTTTTTCATCCATCTGCTCAGCCAGGGTTTATGTGTGGAGTTTCTTACACAGTATGTATGAGCGGCCAGCACCACACAAAAGAGCGGAAGATAAAGTCTAGGAAGGAGAGAGGGTGGAGATGGACACGACTACTGTTGTAACCTTGGGCGCTATGCAGACACACCGAGCGGTAATGCTCATGTGCTATGAACGCCGGTGGCGCAAGCAACAACCTTACTCTTCGTACCACATTGATTGTTCGGAACAATATGTCACGCATTTATTCCACGCCACCATCATATATCCTTGTAGACCGTGCCGCCGTGCGCTCCGTCCGCCCAGCCCTCCGCCGAGCCCTCCTCGTCTCCTGCGAACCATGGCCCGGGCCACAACCATTGCGCAGCAGACAGACAGTGACCAAGAGGCAAGCTCACCTGCGTGCAGTGTGTTGGGCCAAAGATAACACGAACGGCGGTGTACACCTCACGTCAGGGGGGTAAGAGGCATAGATAGGCGGGGGTGCTTGACGCATCACTCCGATTTGAGCTCCACACACCCTTGAACGACACACGCAAGCACGCCGCGGCCTTGTTTCCCGTCGTCCTGGCACCATCCGGGGGAGAGTGATCATTCATGTTGACCTTTCGCTTTCTTGCTTTGCGCGACGTGCCCCGTCCATCGGCCACGGATGCATCGTCGCCGAGGAAAGCGACGTGGTCGATCCGTACACAGGGGGGAAATAGCACCCGCTTCGTCGATTTAGACGAAGGGGCACAGCATCACCAGCACGACAACGAGGTGCGCTCTCTTATCTTTCCTCCCTCTCTCTTCAGTCGCCTTCTTATGCTCGGGGTGGGGGGTTGGGAAGTTTTCCAGCGTAGGTTCGACCACCCATGATGATATCTTTTGGTGCCGTGTTGTTTGTTGCCTCTACAATATTTTGATTGTGGGCCTCGCGACACCGATTCCACATGAACGAGTACCAACACCGATGCCGCATGGATGAGTCTTCATGTTACCGAAAAGACGCTAAAGAGCATTCTCCTCACACACCCTTGCTGCTGAAGAAACCAATGATTACCTTGAAGCTCTACCCGCAACGACGCATTGGGAGTTCTGTTCTGTTAATCCATTTTGGCTTGCATGGTCGCACGGTAGGGGGAGGAGCGGAGCGCCAGCGCCGCGGACAACTCCGAGCGTGGCACTGCCGCTAACTCCACCGCCGCGCGACCCGTTTGGCCGGAGCAAGTGGAGGTCGAAGACAGGGAAGGTCAAGACACGATCCAAGTCGCCGTTGTTCTGGAACTGGCATCAACGTGAGCGGATTCAAAGATCGTGTCCGAGGGGGCTCTTCTTGAATCCATGCTTGATCTTGTGGCACTATTAATAGAGTATACATACAACTGCTATAGTACATTGTAGTACACGTACGAAGTTTTCTTGCGGTATTGAGGCGGATTGATCGGGGGAACAGGGTACATGTAGGTCCGACTGATCGCTTACGCTCACGGGTAGTTTTCACCCAGGGCCTGAAGTTCCAATCCAGACATAGTCTGTGATATCCGACATCAATCACCGGGAGTTTGAAATACACGAACATCTCCTCCCCAATACGGAAGCTCCCGCAAGCAAGTACCCAAACTACGAGCTGTACGAGCTACTTGCCGACTCATTTCATACGCACTTTCTTTCATGAAATTCTGAATATTGAAAGTAAGAGGTGCCACGTGTCTGTTGGAATGTTTGGTATACCGTAGATGCTGCGTTTGTTTTTTCTCGAGGAGCCATCGTCTCTCCTTCGGATCTCTCCGGTGTACTCGGAGCCAAGACTCTCGTACCAAAGGGTCCAACGCGGCGCAACATTGAGTTCGTGCGCAGGGCTGCAGCCGTACGTGGGTACTAAACGTACACAGCAGGCTCATACACAGGCAGGCTTAGTTTTGCCTGTGACATGTGGGTATGTGCATGATTGCACAATCGAGGTGCTGTGCCTACATGCGCGCATCAGTGACCATTCTTTCATTCACAAGTTCTGGGTCTACAGAGAGGGCACGCATCAACTCAACATGAACATAGTGAAAAGCCAAAACTCGTTCGAGAACTGATACCAGACTATCGTCAGCATCCGCCAAAATGAACACCCAAACACAGGATGTGCCACAAACGTTTGGACGACCTGGGGGCACCCCGGCGTGGTTTCCTGAGCTCCTCGACTGTGCAGCATAGCGTTTTGTCTCTCCCTCACGGTCGGCACGCAAGCACATCAACATCTTTGTTACTAAATGAGTCAGTGCCGCGTCTTCTCACGATTTGACACTTCCACCTCCTCCGCATCCTAACCGAAAAAAATCGTGTACACCAAAGTGGGTGGTCTGATCTGGCCGCTCCGATAGTTCAATACCTCAGCCGGAGGATGACTTTCGTAGGGATACTTACGTGATACATTCCAAGGCGCTGCTGCTGACGTTTCGTTTCGTCGAGGGTCAACCAGTACATGACATGTACAACGCTTCCCGACCTCGCTGCCTGATCGTAGCTCTACGACGTCAGGGTAGGGCCTGAAGAGGTCCCGTTGACGCGCCGATGAAAAATTGGGTACAGCAGCAGTTGCTGCTGTTGCGGAGGAAGGTTCGTTGTCACCGGGGCGTAGCATGTTTCTGGTTAGGGTACCGATATCGGATGTCAAGACGATGGAGTTGAAACATATCATCTTGCCCACCAAAATTCAGGTAGGTGCCGGAGACACCGACCATCTTCTCAAAGAGAGAAGTAGGCCATATTCCCCATGTCACATTTTTTTGTTGGAACGTTCGGTTTAAGGTTCGAAATTGAGGTTTACATACACATACGTATGTAGATGAATGGGTTCGCACTGACATGGACGGCTCGTCTTGATGGTGTAATGAAAGCCTGAGACTATTAAATATTTGCGCTCCCAAACAGGAACGTTTGCGCGTGACATCCACAAGACCTATATCCACAACCCTTTCGCCCACTCCCTCCGTGTGAACCCTTGTCCTCATCGCTTGTCCCGATAAATAGGGCGACGAAGCCGCGCGAGAAGTGCTGCCATTCCATCACAATGATCGATGTACTCGACGTCAGACTACGGCCTGGTGAAAAGTGAGTGTTGCAGCGAGACCAATGTAGTGTAGTGATAGTACGGGACCGGTGATACACTCTGTAGTCGCAGATCATTCCTCCTAGCTCGTCGTTGGGGCACTTTCCGGTTTTCCTTGTTGTTTTATCTTACGAAATGGTACGTGTTTTGTCAATCTTGTTTGTTTTTCGATACGGGTTTGCTCCGGCGGCCACTTCGCCTGTCGATAAAATCCAGTTGCTATAAGCGATGCCTATCACGATCTCTCGCAGTTTCAGCCATCAACCACTGCTCGCGCCGCCCCGATGGTCCCAAGCACCTACTAATGGCGATTCCAAGGCGCCGTTGAGTCACCTCCTCTTTGTGGTTACGCTCCTTGGCGCCAGCGTGATTGCGTTGCACCAAATCACTCACTCTTTTCCTTGTACCATTTCCTGCGCGCTTCTCTCCCGGATTGAGCCTGCATCATTGAACGTACATCTCTGTTGTCAATTTGAACATGGTCGCCTTCTTTTTCCGTTTCGGTTGATTCTGGGTGCGCTTGTATGGCGCCACCAGGGTCACACTTTGGAGGCCTCTTCACTCGCTAGGGGCGTCGACCCAGGACTCCATCGACAACGACGGCGACCACGGCTTCGGAGAAATCCAGATAGCTGTCACGTACAACACGGATGACTGCGTAGATCAAGGGTGAGAGAAGCACTTGGTTGCGTCCAAAACGTGCGTGTGTGTTTTTTATTATTAGCATCGACCGCGCTAATCGGCTGGCCAATGAAAAAACGTCGGTCTCAATGCGTGTGTGTGGTCTCGTTCTCAAAAGCACCGACCGCACTACTATCCGGACCGCCACTGACCAAACGACGACCGAATTGTTGAGGAAAACAACGCGGATGCATCCCCTGATGACAGCATGTAGACCGGACAAAAGTCAGAGAAGTGCAGTAGTTCAATTCTGTCCGGGGGACAGGGGAAGTGACTCCTCCGAAGTGGCGCGAACATCACGTGTTTCGTTGAAACCTTGACCGACCTTCAAGCAAAGCGATTACAGTACAGACAGGCTAGGATTCCCATACCGCAAAAAAAAACAAAAGTTCCAATTGTTCACTGTACCCCTTCGCGAGGGAAGAGGGAGACCGAACGGGGCGACCTATTGTTTTGCTTGCCTTTGTTGTTAAGACCATGGACTACTCGTCCTTGAGAGGACGGAGCATTGTTCCCAAAAGACCGATGACCGATACCTACTTTGCCGAAGGGGGGGGTGTCGTTCATTGGTGTGGGATTGTCGGTGCGATAGTTCGGGGACCACATTCATTGCGTTGCGCCCGGATTGCGTTAGGTCCATGTGGGTGGTTACATAGCGCACGACACGACCATGTCCTCCTCTCCTTTACATCGATGTTCGTGACGATCTGTTTAAACTCCCGGTGAACACATGAGACGCCATGCCGTTTTCACTAACCTTCACATGGAACAAAGACGATAAAGGACCATGTTCATAATTCTCCACACCCGAAACACCTCGACCGAATAGCCCACCACTTGTCACTCTCCAACTAACCTACCCCCCCCCCCGCGCTACGTACCCCCCAGATATATGTACGCTCTTTTCTGCGGGCTTGTACCTTTGCCGTTCATCCTATCCTGGTCTTCCAGCAATGCCAAGTCTTCCCTCCTACCAGCCGACAAGTTCCTCAAGCACGGCCGGTACAACAAAGAAAACAACATGGCCCACAATAACAACAACAGCAGCAGCAACAAGGCCATCACCACGAGCAGAATAACGAGGAAGAGCAGCAGCAGCAACAACAACGGCAACAGCAGCGACGGCATCAACGAAAAGGACAGGGACAGCGGCAGCAAAAGGGACAGCGAGAAGCTAACGGCGAAGGAACAAAAGCTCCAGCGGGCTACGACGGCGCACCCTCGAGCCGTGGACGTGGAAAGGCCGTGGTCTCGACGCTACGACTAAGCACACGCAAGCGTACGTTATGCACGCGCTCCTGCTTGATGTGTTTTTAGTTTGACGTTGGCTGCTTTGAAGCTGATTCTCTGGACCTGACAACCAAGGCGTAGCCAGAAGTAGTGGAGTCGCTAACGTTCGGCGCGTGAGTCCCTTTTACTCCAGTCCTTCCAAATTTTGCGGTCGTGCGGGATGTCGTCCTCCCGTCTTTTTTCCTTATTGACCGCCTCCACACGCACTTGCAGGTGCAGCCGTCGCTCGGGTAATGTCGCCGCCTGGTAACAGGGAAACCCTGATGTACTGTTGTTGCAGATTCGGCAATTCAAGACAGGGTCATACCGGCGTCGCAGGCAAGCACGAAAAAACAAACAAATTGGTAGCCAAAGCGGCGGCATGGCGGCTTGAGTGTCGGATGATGATTTTGAAGTGAAAACGGGGGTGGAGGCGGGAGGTTGTACTCGACAACTGCTTCTCCCTCTACTATAATTGTGGGATGGACAGCGCATCGCTCTCGGCAGGCGCAACACCATCCCTTCTTAGTGGTGGGAGCGCCGTCCCCATCGGGGCCAGGGGCGGGGGCGGGGGTTCTTGTTGGCAAATTCCTTGTATTGTGCGGTTCGCTTGTTGTCTACACAGGCCGGGCAAAGCAACCACTACGGAATAACTATACCATTATCGGTGTTGATGTTGGGGGCTGCTTCCATCCATCGTGATCATCTATCACGATCCATCGTGATCATCTATCACGATATGTTTCGACGACCGTTTTGTGCCCTCTCAGTGTCGATCTACCTTATTTCAAACACGAGTGAGTACCTGATCATGTTGCGTATCTTTACCTACTGGTAACGTTTAATGAATACTGAGTACATCTCGTGGGCGGGCGTGTACGTCTTGTTTGTTGGTTGGAGAACTTGTCGGTTGGAGAACACATTAGACTCGTAAGTGGAAGCGGAGACGAGTAGGTCGTTGTGTAGAATGTGACATCGATTTTCATTACTTTAGTGTTTTAGGGTTGGGGACGGGAAACTGTTTTTTGCTTTTCATTCGTGGCCTTGAGAAGTCATCACGCTGTCGAAGGAAGACCACGATTGAATATATATGCAGTAGGTTGAAGAAGCGAGGGTAAAGCGCGCTATTTATGTAGACAGCGCCGATAAAGGCGAAATAGTGAACGCGTATGGAAATATTACATTTGTAGATTCAAGCAGTGTTGGCAGGCGACCACCAGACAACAAGTCTTTTCCCCGCCAACACAGCTTGTATCGAAGGTAAAGGTGAGGTCATTTTTTCCAACTGGTGGTTGATGCACAGCTGGATAGTGTATGGATGGCGAATTGGTGTACGCACGAACTGGTGGGATGCTTTAGGTTGGGGAAGTATTGTTCATGGTTTCTTCGCGCAGTTCATTCCCATCACCCCATCACCGGTACGTCATGCTGGAAAGAGAAAGATGGTGTTGTCAACTCGGCATAATCACGCGTGCGTGTGTCCGCGGAAATGGGGACGGCGGAAAGCGCATCTACTGTGTCTAGACGTGGTATTCACATTCGCTTTGAACCGAATCAGCAAAGGCCCGGCCAAGCAACACGAATAATTTTTTTGTTGGGTTCGTAGTGACAAGTATCCGGCTCGTCTCTCTCGTACGCATGTGAATGCATACTTTCCTTTTTCGGACGGATTTTTTTTTTTTCGAGACATCTTTGGAACTGTTGAAGGAGAAAATATTGTCGTGACCCCGAAGAGTAGTATAATAGTGAAGGTGAGGATAAGATCGAAAGCTGAGGATGCACATGATACCAGAACTGCAGTAGACTACACCGATAGCCCTCTTTCCAGATCGGTTCCAAGTCTGCGAAGTGCCTGTGTCGGTGGCAATCCAGCATGAATGCGTTCGGGGGAGGGGTCCAGTCACCACACTCAGCACGCGGGTCGCAGTGGAGTGGGAAAAGCTGCCATTCCGTTCCTGGCGCTGGAAGACAGAGAAGACGACGCAAGGTTTCGTGACCCGGACGAACGTGGTAGACGATTTCATACGCACACGTCTAGAAAACAAAGTCGTAACTGGGTCTTGCCAAGTGTTGATGCATGGATATTGTTGTGCCTACATAGAAGAACTTGACATATGTGTTCACCCCGTGAAGCTCCCTGATCCTCCTCTTCCCCACGTTTTCGTCAAAACAACTATACGAATCTCGGTGGTCTTCAGCTGACCCGGGAGTCCAACGTCGTCGGGCAAAAACGTAGGAAGGGGAGTTCATCATATTTTATAGGGTGCCACCGCTGCACGCACTCTTCGCTCATCGGGTGGACGCTCTCGCCGAGATATAATTATTCACGGTGGACGCGATGAAGGACCTTCCCTCAGTCTGGGTCACGGTGTGCGTTTCGCCTGAGATGCTCTCCTCCTGTGCCATCGTTTGTCTTCGCCTGGCAACTGCTGTTTTTCGGTCAAAAGAGGAACGTTCCGTAGGTCTCATGAATACTCGTTTCTACTTTAGTACGAAGTGAATAAGATTTGGATTCCATTTTACTCCTCACTTGCCTAATTATTTCCACAAAACCTATGCCATGTCTGTTTCATTCGATTTTACTGCCATACCCCTTCGACGTTGCCCTCAGCTTATTAACTTCGTCACCAGCTGGCATACTCATACTCATACACAAGAAGCACTATTCACTTTTTTCCCCGAACCTCCAAAACATATAAATACAACAACAGTCATCTACAAACTAACCGTAATTGTTCGCGTGACGTTCGCATTTCTATCGGGAACGCTGATCCCGTCCGTCCCCTCGGCAACCTGCAACCGCATCTTCCCCTTCCGTCAACATATACCTATTGTTGTGGCTGTGGCCGTCCTGCTCGCGGGGTGTGCGGCCCTAACCCTAACCCTCCACCCTCCACAGTACAAGTACAAGACTACATAGTTCTTCACCAAACGGGAGAAACAAAACTCAACGATGGAATTAATAATCTCGGTAGACTGTACAATCGCGAGGCGTGAGTTCAGCACAAGGCACCATTCCACACGGGCATCGCTCTGGGACGAATTTACAACAACAAAGAATCTCCCACACTCAATTCAGGCGTACCAACCACCTCAAGGATTTCACAACTGCTGCTGCTGTAAGCTTCAAATAAATAGTTTGCCCTTTTAGCGCGGATCTCGTGAAAGCAACCTGCCGTGCCCCACGGACCGTCTTGAGATGCCGCCGCTTCACCGCGCGGTGCTGGGAGGGCACTCCGAGGTGATGTATTGTTTTCGACGGGAAAGGATTATCGACCCCTCCCATTGCGAAACGCAAACTTTGAGTATCACGAAATCCAAGGTTTCTCAAGGTGATCCAACCTACATCCTTGCTCCCTGATGCCAAGCTAATGGAACCATGGAAGCCACCCATCCGCAAAGGAATGATGAAAACACGTGTTCGTTCGGCAGGCCTGACCCCCAAACGGTTACTTTGCACAACGGCCGACGTTTCTCATCCTCCACGCCCCAAAGCACTGCACAGAGTACCGAGTATCGACCAAAAGGTTAACAACGACGAGGCCACCAGTTGCTGTGGCAAGAGGGCTTGCAAACTCTACACAACCTTTGCTCTTTACCAAGTCTCCCAAGACAGCCGGAACGCCCGCGCAATGGTTGGGTACAGCCGACTACAACGTTTCTCCCCACTTCGCGGTAATGCAACACCCTATAACCCTAACCCAGAAACACCAAGAGCGTGGTGATGGAAAAAATCTCTCGTCAAGTGCCTGCTGACGGCGCTTTCTGTCGTCGCCGACGTATGGTTGACCTAGCATGCCCTTCGTGCGCAGCAATCATGTCCACGCTTTCGTCTCTAGTGCAACCAACGTCATCTCAAGGAGGACGTAAGACTTCGACAAGAGTCACCGAGGCTTGGATGTTGCCGTGTCACTAGCATCTGTTCAAGACGTCCTATTCTCTACCATCATTGGCTTACTCCAAGTATCACTTCCGCATCTAACAACGAAATTCATTTCGGCTTTGTGCTCGGGATTCAACTTTTCCACGCTGTGCGAAGCAAGTCACTCCGATTGCTCGCGCTCTCCGTCATTGGCGTTCGAAACATCGAATCGATAGGCACCAGGCAAGCCTTCGGCATCAGCGCAGTCACGACCATCCCCTCCGCCGAACAGAAAAAAAACACAACATATTTTTCACAATCCAAAACCTTCACGTGCACCGGAGGTTTCTACGTGCTACTCATCGCAGCCCGGCGGCGGGGAGACGCGAACAGCACAAGCGTGCGACCCCTCCCCCCTCACTTGTCCCGCCCCGGCATTGCCGTCGTGGGCATCAGAAAAGTCCATCGCGACCGAAACATCGGTGGCACCGTTTACGCTCGGGACGGCAGTCGCTGCCCGACAAAGCGGGGTCCAGTCCACGAAGTCATCGCCGGAATCGCTTGCCTTCATGGGCGTAACGCATCAGCGTCAGCAGCATCGTCCGCAGCGTCTGCACCACCTGCAAGACGGCCTTCCGAGGACATCGTTTCGAGACCTTGGGGTGGCGCTGCGGACGTTGCTGCTATCGGCGCCAGCCGTCCCCCCCGAGGTTGGCTACGTTGCCACTCTTCCTTATCTCTATTTCTCCCGCTGCCTCCGTTCCCCTCGCTCCTATCCGGAGCAACACCTACGCCAGAGTATTTTACAGCTCCGAGGGGCGTGGAGGCGGTGTCTTGTCTTCCTCCTCCTCCGTTCTTCAGCGATAAGTCTGATTGCATTGTTCGTGGAAAGGAGCAAATGCGTTTGGATACAGTGGGCGCTGGAGGTTAGTCGAAAAGAACGTCAGGCCCGAGAGTTGCAACGCGGAAGTCGCTGACGCGACGGACCGATTGCTTACATGTTGCACGTGCGACGGAACTCGCGGATAGTCCAGCGCATGCATCGCACCGAAATGGATGGCGACACGCTCACGAGTGAAATATGACACCAGCGAGACATGGCTGTAGGCGTCTCCAATCGAAAGCCGAACTAGAACGCAGTTGGTTTGTCATATGCTACGCCATACTTTGCACCAGAACCTGATTTTCGGAACCGAAAACCCCACCGGCTTTAGGGCCGGGGAAGCAGCATCTGGGGTATATCTCGCCGCGTTGCCAACAACAACAATAGCAACAACAGGAGGGATAAGAAAAGGCCTTACGTTGTGGCGGGCCCTTAGGTACGAGCTTGTAAAGCGTAACGCCAATCATGGTGACGAAAAAGCCGAGCCCCGTTCGCCCGCTGAGGTGCTCCCCCAGCACCAAAACCGAGAACATCACCAGCAGCAGCTCCTGTTGCGTTGAGGGGCACAGCAGAACGGAACCCGGGTGTCGTCGTCATGTTCCTTCAGGCGTATGCCGGACCCTAACGACGGCGTGGAATCGGTAAGCATATGCTGCACCTGTGACTACAATTCTCGTGGATCGGGACAGGTCCGCCTTCGTACTAATCATTCTGGTTCCAGTCCACACGGCCTTCGGTGTACAAATCACTGACGTATCGGTCGGGTCCAAACAGCGAGGAGATTCCACCTGGGTGTTTCCTACTGGTACATGTGACTTGGCATAATCCAGCAAGAACGCTCACCTTGACTACGGCGATGATGCACAGGCTCAACGAGGATACCCTCCTGATGAAAGAAAACTCCGCCAGGACCAGCATGAAGGCCAGGAGCGAAACGGCCACAATCATTAAGCCCGTCTGTCGATAGAGAGAGAAAAAGAAAGAGAGAAGAGAGAAGAGAGAGAGAGCGAACAACGGGCAGACACAAAGGTTGTCATCATGCGGCAAAAAAGCACACGGAACCAAATCACGATACGACAAGCAGGCAACGTCAGTGAGTTGAGAACACACCCGTGAACAGGATGGCATCACGCTGCGTGTTCGGTCGGTCCACTCGATTTACCGCACCTTGACTATCCGATGACCGCTGAAGGTGACGGCCATTTCGTGCAACGCCCCCAGTTCGAGGGCCAGGGCAAAGGGCACCAAGGAAGCAGCGCTCGACAGGCTCCTGTTGCCACAGACGGCGGTACGACAGCAGTAGCACGGCGCACACGTGACCGATCCGTCCATGTGTAGCCAGGACCAAAGGCATGCAACCCACATCACGATCATGATGGCATCATGCACCAAGGTAGGATGAGACATCACAGAGGAGGGTACGCATAGCACGGAACACTGTTGTCGATCGCCGGTTCGCAGGAAGCGCGGTCTTCACTGTCTTCCCACTTTCCTACCAGTTCTCTTGCCGCAGCGTTCTAGATCGCCCAAAAAACACGCTGCCCCTAGAGACCGCGGCATGGCTAGAACAAACAAACGCTGCATACACACCGGCATAGGCGGGGCCGAAAGCGCAGAGAAAACGGCACGGGACTACGGCAATCCTTGGACATTTCCAAGAGGTCTATATTGCTGTACGATGATACTGCCGAAGTATGATAATACTGCTGTACGCATACTCCCATCTCTTTCAAGCCTAAGGCGTTGCACGGGCGAAAACATCTTGCCGCATGAAGATAGTGAATGCACCGCCAAATACAAGGTGACAATCCACAGCTCGCACTCATAAATGTACGAATATAGTAGTGTGGTGGGACAAGGCATGCACAACATGATCGGGGGAAACTGTCCAAAGGCAGATAAAGTGCGGTAGGAATGTGGTGTATCTAGAATACCGAGCACTCCGTGACGACCTGTCCTTTGCCAGCCAGCGCACACAAGTGGAAACCCTTCGACACCCAAGAGAGACACGAAGGAAGAGTCGAGTGAACTACACCAGGCGCCACACGCGTCGCAATCTCTCTTGACTTCCATGACTTCCATGATTCGTACTCACATGTAGTGGAGTAGGGTGAAAGGGTGGATGTGTTCACCTACGGTGATTGCCCCCCTCCCGTAGAGCCCTCTACCCTGGAGCAGTACCTGGTGAAACGACAAGAGGAAACAGCAGCACAGCGAGAGCCCTTAGCCAGACCTCTGCTACGTTACGAATGCTCACAACTCCAGTCCTCTCGGGACCATGCGTGTCCCTGCAAAGCACTTTCACGGGTAGAGTACCACGAGTGCCCTAGAAGAAACGAAAGGTAAAAAGCAAACAAGACAACGCTCGCCGAACGAACCAAACAACACACTTTTCACGGACGTTTAGCTTGACTTGACTTGACTTGGACTTCATGCCGCTGGCGCTACTTTTGCCGTCTTGACGACAAAAAAGTGTTGTCAACCTTTTTCCCGTACTTCCGCTTCCATAATTTCTCACGTAGAAATCAACTATCGTGCACGACCAACTACGATCGAAAACTGGGTCCCGAAGAAACCGAGCCCCGCCTGCGAAAACAGCAGCGCACCTGCGACAGCGTCCACTTTAGGCCCGCCAGCATTCCGCTGAGCAGGGTCAGCAGGAAGCCGTCCATGGGGAAATCTTCCTCTTGGTCGTTCCGCTGCCCCGAGAACAGCAGGGTCACCCCCCCGCTCACCAGCATCACCACCGCCAACAGCCCACACCGGAACTCCTGCGGGGCACACGATACAATCAGCCGGCGCGCACGGTGTCCGGGACAGTGTTAGGCCGGCCTCGGGCTCTGAAACGATACGAGAGGCGCCAATTCCTCTTTACCAAGATGAAAACAGCTGTGCCACCGCGTGTGACGAAACAAAAGGGGCACTTTCCAAGCTCGACGATCTACAAGTGTCGCGGAAAAGAGTCCGTTGCAACGCCCATCGAAACAGCAGGTAGAAGCGGCCCGCGTTGTGCGCAAAAGGAACCACATCAACGTCGTGGTCGAGGGAGGGAGGGAGGTAGCCGACAGCAACCCCAGGAACCGGGTGGTCGCACAAGAAAATGTGAGCGGTAAGTCTACGGAGGCTTTTCTACGTAAACAAACGTGAGTACAGAATCGGCAAAGGCCGGGTTGGGGTTAGGGTGTGCGTGTCTCCTGCCTGGTCTTTTTCTCGAAGTAAACTCGCCCTCTTTGCGTACGTCCAAAGTGGGAGGCAAAATCGACATCGTTCGTGCCGGCAGTCAGCACCATAGGAAAGCATGAGCACATGGGTGTTGCAATATAGCTCTCTCTCCCTCTTACCTGCAGCCCCATCCCGACGGAGAAGAGAAGGACGAAGATTGGCACCGTAGATCTCACCATCGTGTGGACCCCCACGTGCATCACTTTCAAGCCAAGCGCGCTCGTGCCCACCTGTACATACATGAATGCAAAGCACCCAAAGACCGCCGAACAACAAGCAATAGCAAGCCTTGAAAATGTGGTCGTCATGATGCCATGTCGAGCAAGACGCGATCATGTGCAGAGTTGGCATCACGTGTGCCGCCCAAACATCGAAACGCCGTACGCACTACAGCCCGGCTACTTTCGCGTGCTGCTTGAACTATCTGTCCATGTCGTCATGAAACACCCATGTTTTGATCCGTTTTCAGCATCGTCCTGCCACACTTCTACACCTTTCCCTCTTGCAACGCAGTCATTGTTCGGGAACCTGGGTCGTCGCGACGCATATCACGTGCAATATCCACCGCCGCTCAACTCCACACGTCAACCCTACGCATAATCAACGCAGCCCTTACTGTGCATGCCACGCAAGAAAAAAAAACACGATCAACAGGTATTTTTCCATGCTGGACCAGGATTGCTGTGTCACGGTGTGGACGGCACTCGCGCACCTCTAGCCCAGACGCCGCCGCCACCGGGAAAACCTTCCACGCCCACTGGTGCCACGAAAGACGTTGCACGAGGTGACTCGCGTCCCCGCCCCCCTCCCCTTCCTCGACGCCTCGATGTCTCAACCAAGTCCGAATAGACAGGCTGACCAGGTGCATGATCAGGTAAGTGAGGGAGATCAGCGTGAGCGGGGCGTTGAAGCCCATTCCTGTTGGAAAGCACGAGCGGGCGTATACGAAGGTCGGTCAGTTGATATGTTGATACTGTAGCCGTGATTGTACTCGAGAGTTTCTCGTAAAATGGGGGCGGGACTCTGTCGGTTGAACAACTGAGGTGTCATCAGCACCGTGCAACGGCATGCGCTGTTGGCAGACTACGATGAGGAGGTGTTGCTATCCTGCAAGCATGATGGCTGGGTCTTCCAGCGCGCAAAGTGGCGGCGCCGTGGCTTGGTGGTCCCCATCGGGTTGACAACACAAGGTTAGCGACAGCGCTGACAGCCATGAGGGGGCCTCCGTTCTACAATACGGCAATTTTCCAGACAGAACCCACGCCCAGCAGGTGATGCTCTGTACACGTGTGAGCCGCGTGCTAAGGACGGAGCGAAAATCAGGAGGAGAAATGGTAACGGGAGTTGTTCTAAAAGTACAATCAATAGAATAACAGCCGCGAGAGCAGCCGCCGCCACCGCAGCAGCAGCAGCGGCAGCAGCATCGAGGAAGAGGTGACGTGCCACTGGAGGTATCCATCTACATATGCACAGCAGTACATGGGCTCGTGGCGACCAAGCACATACAGCAGCCGCGGAGACCAAAAGGAGGAGGGTATACAACATTGCTGTCCATGAAGAAGAAAGGAGTAAAAACTCTAAGGATGGCCCACCCACCTGTCATGAGCCACTTGTCGAGTAGCGTGAGCGACATCGACACCCAAATGTAGAGCAGGACGATACCCAGGATTAAGTTCACCTGCTAGATGCGAACCAGACCACAACAGCACAGGGTAACCATATACAGCAGTAGACGTCCCTGTTTGGTGCCGGTATGCGCCCAGAAAACTCACCGGCACAATAGCGGGCCGGCACTACAGCATTCAAAATATTGAGAATGCCTTAGAACTCAGTTTGTGCCCGTCGAAAACACCGCACTATAACCGAGCACCGCAACTATTCAACCGGTACATACGTACATATGTACAGGCACCTACCCTACCGCATGTTCATGAGACATTTGCAACGCTGCTGTCAGCGAGAGAGGCGATCACTCTCGTTGCAATACCGTAGGTCACAGCTTCTGTAAGTCTATATACCGCATACCACAGTTTCCGTATACCGCAGTAGTAACCGTCCGTAGTCCACCGCCACCAACTTGGTTGGGCAGACGGGCCAACAACCATCGCAGCGCACCCGAGGCAACCCGAAGCGCAACTTCTTGGGCGGATCATTCCGAACCAAGAATAATACTCCGCCACAGCTGCTCCGCAAACTGCCGGTAGGTATGTACGCTACGCGTGCCAGCAGCTTGTTTGCAGCCTTGATCGGGAATCTCGCTTTGCTTGCAAGAGAGGGAGAGGAGGTCTACATCAAACTGGAAGTGGTGCACTGAGAGATGTACATCTCCAACACACGCGTGGTTTGCACACAGCACACCTGACCGTTGCCGCCGTGAAGCAGCAGTTTAGCAAGAACACTACGCTCGCCACCCCTCCCCTTTGCTTGTAGAAGAGGCGATCGACTGCGGTGGTGGAACTTTCAAAGTTCTCTTCCTTCCGTCCTCTCGCACCCCACTCACCTGCACTTTCCGACTGGCGCACTGGATAACTCCACCATCATCCGAATTGGCATGGACCACAGCTTGCTGACGTGCACGGCTGCTGGAGTTCGTAACTAGGACATGCTCGATGTCTTCCTCCTGCTCCTCGGTGCTGCTTACCCGAGTAAATCCACGGCGGCGGTCACCATAACCACCACGGGCCTCGACCATGCCCACCGAATGCCGTGAAGTCCCCCCACTCCTCCCGATCAATCGCTAGCTCTCACCAGCCCAAATCCCAAACTAAGGTTGGGGAGCCAGTTCTTCCTCTTTTCGGCTTTTCGGGACTTGCGTGGGAGGGGGGCTCCGCAAGTTGTAGCGCACCCCCCACTCTCATCCGGGACTGTAAAGTACTCGTTTTTCCATGATTTGGACTCTAGGCGTAACCAGGTGGTGTGCGTGACCATGTGGCGTGCTCTGCTGGACCGCTCGCTGGATCTCATCCTGCTCCAAACGGCGGGCGTTTAATTTACTCTTTGGTGTTTTCGGCCCTCGATCGTCACGGGCGACTTACTTAGTCGCCAGACAGCACAGCAAATTTGAAATTAATTGACGACGCCCCGCCCCCACAAAACGGCCACGCCCGTTTTCTCTCGCCGTGCGGACGTTTCAATCGCGTCTTCCACTACGATTCTGTCAGTCTTCCCTCCACATGTTGCGCACTACATAGTCCGTAGTATTTTCGATTTTCATCAGATCTGCTTCCTTTGCCGGTGTTCATATCGATTGCGGGTCCAGACTGAAGGTCTCTGATCATTTCAAGTATTCGCGTTGGCCTTCTCTGAAAGCTGGCTCACTTGCGACGTACACGTGACAAAATTTCGTACGTAGGTGCGAGGTCGTGGTTCTTCCCCTGCTGGCGATTTAATTTTGCTCGTTTTGATTAGGCCCTTTTGTCAGCAAGTTTTTTTGTTATAATTATTTTGTTCTCATCCCTTGCTTTCCGTTTCTCACGGTTCAGCGACATCTTGAATCCCATCAAGTGAAGGGACTAAAAACTCGCTGCAGGATGTTCCTTTCGAATAACTGCATCCTGAGAGCAGAGAGCCCCAGACGCAACACGGTTTTGCAACGGTTCCCTTACAACATCGTCCGTGTGTGTTTCATCACAAAGGCCTGCCGATTGTAGCGGGTCTCACTCTTGCGATAAATACTTTGCCCCGCAGGCTCGTCAGACGGCCTGACGATCTGGTGGCTTCGCACGGACGGGGCGCTCGATGGACGGGGCGCTCGATTGATCAATTCGGCACGCTTACCACTAAAGGTACGAATCGTGGACAGCAACAAACAGCAGTCATCGAATACACCGTCGTTTTCACGAGGCAACCGCAGCAGAGGGAAGCTCCATGATTGCCGGAGAACGAGAGACAAACTGGCGAGTAAAAATTTGATCCACAGACAAGAACCTAACCTTTCTGCATCTAGCACTCTGAACATAGACTACAAGTCTAGGTCTAGGTTGCTGTGATTTCACACACGGGCAACAACGGGTGGGCGTGAGCGCACTGGAAACCTCAACACACTCGCGTTCTTAAGTCTAGCTAGCTCCCGCAGCCGTGGCTCGCAAACAGGCAGCCTGAGTGTAAGGTGAGACAGCTACCGGATGCTCGAACGCTTGGACTGCCCGACTTGCACTGGCGATCAGTCCTGTTTGTTTGCTTTGTAAAAGACGGACCTCAAAACGCACCCCTACCTAAGCTAGCCAACTTACTCAGCGGTCCTGGTGACCGACAAACCAATCCCAACATCCTTTGCCTGCTTTCCCTGAGGAAGGTCCTGGAATCCACACAAACCAGGTGCAACCTAGGCCACGAAGCATAGCATCCATTTGAGAGGCACCGGATGAACGCCGTGTAGCTTCTCGTTTGCCACGGCAACTTTCGCCTCATGGCGTACAAGTCCAACACACTTCTCCCCGTGTCGCAGCCTGCCATAGCGATGCCCTCTCTATATGGTCCCCGATTTTGTTTACATGCTAAAATATGGTACTCCAGTACAAGGAGATCTTCCAACCTTGCAAAGCGGTCCATCATACGATCGCCACGCTCAGATTGCTGCAACAAATCGATATAAAGGAGAGATCGAGTATCGTCGGCAAATTGCACCAAACCCACTCTTGTTTTCAGCAATTGTCCTCGAGCGGATTGCCTCTAAACTAAGCTCCTTCCTGCACAGGTTAGCTTATTGCCACCTTTTCCTTCATGAGGGTCGACTTTTCCTTGAACAGGAAGCTAGGCAGAGGAGCCCTCTTTGCCGGGAGCAACTTCTCCGCTGCAGCCTTCGTCTCGGGGGGCACCAGGTCGATGTAGAAGTCCAGAACCTTGTTGATGTCATCGTAGAAACCATACGCCTGACAAGAACGAAAGAAGAACATAAAAAAAGGAAAGAAGAAGAACGGAGAACAGAAAGAAAATAAGGAGGAAGCCGACGGCAAGAAGGCGTGAAATTGATGAAGGCAAGGACTTCGGATGACGTACGCATCGAACAGTGGTAAGGATGCTCGAGGCAGGTTCAGCAGCACGGTGCTCCGGCGAGGTATGCTTGCAGCACCGGTGTTGAAGCCAATGCTGATGGACGGGACCGTTCGCACGTGCCACGCGGCCAGATCAGGAGGCGATAAAAAATATGGGATGGAATTCCATACCGCACGAGAAAAGTAGGCTGCATTTCTATGACACCCCACCACCACAAAAAGAGTTCAGAAAAAAAAAAACAGGAACCCATTTTCGCAGTCTAGGACATGCCGCAATGTGTTGGAGCTGTTAGATGCGAAGCTACGCATCTGCGTGAAAGCGCGCGCCCAAAATCTATTCGTCTTTCTTGCCCAACAAAAGATAACACACGCTGAAAAACACAGCAGCACAACTACTCAACAAGTTTCCGCGTCATGTGCTCCACGAAAGGGGTGTTCATTTCAGGCCACCATCAGACAATCATGCAAGTGGGAGACACCAGGAACCGTGTGATGCTTCGAGTTTGGCCCGAGTGTCATGTCGGGCAGGCACTGCATGCAAAAAACGTCGCGAACATTACCCACGCAGCTCATCAACATTTTCAGAAAAACTAGACAACAGGCAGCCAAACTTATCCAACCCAACAAACATTGCTCGGAACTCTATCCCCGACTGAGCCTTGCAGAACCGAACACTACCCGGCATTAAAAATTATCACACCTGTTTGAGGTACTTTTCCGCCCCCGGGGGAAGCACGCCGTCGGCGTCGGCAGGGATGAAGATGATGGTGTATACAGAAGAGTCGAAGTTGGTGAAGAGGGCCTCTACTTCTTGGGCCATGTCGAACGCCTTCTCCATCTAACAAACACCGTGCGTTTCGCCAAAATACAAAAAAGCATTGGTCCAGATTTCATGGGGCAGTTCCAGGTCCATCTCGGCGATCGGTGAGGTTTGCGGGAAGTAAGCTTGGCGGATTACCGTCTCCATATCGTCCTAGTGTTGGGAACCAAGGCGACACGATTGGCGCCTCGACTCCCCCCCCAAAAAAATTGCACTCATGCACGCAGACGGGCATGGTTAACTATCGAAGTCGCGATCGTCAAGAGACAGACTTACCGTATCCGGGTCTTCCACAACGTCGCTGGCTTGGACGATAAACGAGTCGATCTTCTTCTTGAGGTTGAAGAAGCGCGTGATGTAGTTCGTGTTGGTTCTTGCGGCGTCGAACTGCTCCGCCTTGAGGTACTGTAGGGTGGGCTTGAACACTTCCTGCAGACGTTTGGTGTATGTTTTGGTCGACGTGATCACCCATGCGAGGTGAGACTACAACACGAGACCACAAAACATGAATGGGAATGCAACACTGAAGAAACATGCGTCAAGACACTGGGCTTTCACTTTCATACCCCCCGACGTCCCTCCGTGGTTGCAAATCAGGCTTGTCGTGTGTGTGGCGGTGGCGTGTGTCTGCAAAACACGCGTCGCACCATCAAAAAGGTACGCGTGCTGACACTTGACGCACGACTAACTCTTACGACTTAATGCTTGCACTGATTGTAACGACACGATCTGGTTGGTTTAGAAACGAAAAGTACAACCAGACGCTTCAAGAGGAAGCGCTGTTCTTGAGAAGACAGCACTGCAGGGCAAGGTATTTCATTGGCTGATTTCGACCACACTGCTGTGGCACGCCAACACACACCGGCAGAAAACTGACGGCACTGCTATAATAAATAATAGCAGGTGGCGTGGAAACACCTAATATATCAACATGTCAACATGTCCGACTCTGGATATCCCCGCTCTCGCCCCTCACCAGAGGCAAAATACAAGCAAGGGAAACGAGAATAAAATCGAGTCTGCGGGGAGAGGGAAGAAGAAATTTGACCCTGATATATACGAGGAAACAAGACCGAGCGACAGCGAATGCTCACGGCGAAGATGAGGGAATGTGCCCCTCTACTTCGAATGCTGGCTCTTTCTGTGTACGAGGCATCACCGGAACGTCTTCGAGGGAAACCAACTCCACCTACGGGGGGACCGGAAACCGTTCGTTCCCCAGCCTGCAGTGACTTTGATCGTCCTGATTGTTGTCAGTGCATGCTGCTGATAAGGACAACAGCCACTTCCGGGTGGACAGTCCCGCATGTACCTTCCGTGTGCACGGCGCTGGCTCGTGCCATCATGTCCGATGAACATTACGACAACATAGAGCGGGCAAGATGTGTCTTGGTGGATGCTTCATCCCAAAACCCTTTACACCCAACCTTGCAGATCATGATATCGGCCTCCAGCTCTTCGAGACTCTGCGCTGCCGCCTCCGCCCGCTTGGACAGCGCCGGAGAAAATGCTGTCGCCAGCCCCAGCGCCCCCCCTCCAAGCACGGTCTTGACGTACTCCCCCCGCGAGCTTCCCGCTGTTGTTCCACAACACAGAAGGAAGACGGAGTGGAGCGTTTTTTCGTCAAACAGACGTGAAGGGGTACGGGGTTGCACAAACGAGCACGCCATCCAGCGACTCGCTTGCTTGGCTGCCCTTTGCGAATCCAAACCAAGCAAGACCTTTTGCACGCCTACGATAAATGTGTCCGACAAAATAACACAACGTCAGGTATTGACCCACAGAGAGAAATGGGTAATGCATTGATCGTGGTTGGCATTTATCAGGACAAACCACGCCGCTTCACGAAATTACGTCATTTAGGTGACTGACCTTTGCGAGTGCACTGCCGAGCAACATCACATGTTGGGGTAGGCACGGGGGACACTTTGACGAATACCAGCGGTGCTTTACACCATCAGGCAGCGAATGGAGCGCATTTCGTAACATGTGGTTTTCAACGCACAGTGTGCCACACAGGATAACACCGGTTGACATCATTTAAACCTTCATATGCATACGTCCAAGTACAAACCTTATCACCGTGGGTGCTATTGCGGGGTGTGTGGTAACTTCGGTGAACCTCGTACTCAATTCGAGAATATTTTTTCGCGTTGGGCGAATGTTGAGCCGCAAGAGCATCGTCACCAGGCGTGGTAACATCTCATGATATCAAGGAGTAGGTGGTATCTTCATCTTGCTGTGGAATTCGGTAAGTTGGGAGATCGATGATCTTACACAAGAATGGCGTAACTTCTTAATGCATGGAAGTAAAATACAGTACGTAGGGCCAGGCAACGCAACGAGGCTGACAGACGACGCTATGTGGCGAGATCTATGTATGCATACTCCAGAAGAAGTCTCAGTCATCGAAGAACACCCTCACCCCGAACAAAACCCGATGTTGACATGTTGATATGTTGAGGTGTTGGCATGTCGACTTTTCAAAGCCAGGACGGAGACAAATAGATCGCTATTGTTGTGTGTCAGCACACGGCCCGCACCTCATTCTCACACAGGCAGGCTACAGTAGTACAGAGAGCGAGGGAGGAGAAGGCACCCTGGGAACGTGCACCCATATCGGTGCTGCTGCAGATGTGTAGAGGCCTTTGGACGTTGCGTTGCGTGTTGTTGTCGCTACAAGTATGTCCCGTACAGAAAAGCATCAGGAGTAGCGAGTCGTCCATGGATGCATATGGGTCTCGCAGCATGCCGATTAGAGACCAAAAACTAGCATCGGAGCAGGGTCTTTGCGCGCAGAATCGAGTATGCAAACCCACGGCCGTTCCATGAACGAAGCACAGCAGCCTGATCCATTGCCCGTTCACCGTGTACGTGGGATCATGCTCCCCTGGCTCAACTGGTAAAAATGAGTCATGCACGAGATAGGTCGACTCGGATACAAACACAGCCACAGCACCCACGTCCACACACAGGAACACTGACCAACAATCTGGCAACATTGTGAGGAGGTGCTACTACGTTGCTCTGACTCTCACCTAGTGACATGGACGGTAGCACGCGTTGCGGCGCGGGACATCGCCCAGCAACCGACGCTGCTGCTGATGTGGATACCGCTCCTGCTGATTCTGCATGTCCCGGGCGCACTCCTGGCAAGAAGCCTGGACCGGCAAAGCCCTGCGCTCCCATGACGAGCATGAGCATCCCCACGACATCACACCATGAGCGCATCATGATTCCAGCGGAGTCGGAGCACGAAGAGAGGTGGGATGGCAGCACCACTGCTCTGCTCTGCCACTGCACTTCACTCTCTGTTTCCCGCGACGATTTGCCAATGGTATATGACAATAATTTTTTTTATTGTCATATACCATTGCGATTTGCTGCGATGGTAAAAGGGGGCTCCGCAACTGAAGTTGATGTCTCGCGGCTGCTTTGTCTCTTTGGCTTTCCCGCTCCCCCCTACCACTTGGTTCCTCTGACAGCGTCACATTGAGAGCCGCTCGCGGCGGGAAAGAGGCAAGCTACTGGAACACTGGAACGAGAAAGAGGAAGCGGGGTGTGTGGAGGGGAATGGAAAAAATCGTGAAGCTGCGGAGATGTCCTCGCCAGTGCCTCCTGAGACGGGCGGTGCTTACATCTACGATGCCAGCACGTTCTTGAAAGGATTGAGATCGATCTCCTTGAGGAATCTGTCCTTCAGGTGTGTGGACTACTGCACTGCGGCACTGATGCACTGATGCTGTAGCGTGCAGCATCAAAGGTTCTAGTCTATACGTATTTGCGTTTACCTCTACGCCCATACCGCACTGCGTCTTTCTCTGTATTTCGCTCTCTGGTATTGCTGCCTTGAGCAATTGCACTAGTCTATCGTTTGTTCCTGCGGTGGAAACTCCGTCCCCGCACCCCCCCAACTGCTGTTGTAGGCGCACCCCTGTAGAGGTGTGCTACTGCTGTAGGCATAGCTTACCCCTGTTTCAAGACCATATGCAGCAGTGGTGCAGGCGGGCTGACATACTAGAAACATATCCACAAGAAATCGACGCTCATGATTTTTGAAACATAAGAGAATACTTTACATATGCATATGGCGTATGCACATGCGAAACTGCCCAGCCGACGGCACTATCTTCATACTCTGTAAAGTCCTCACTCAATGTAGGTATTATAGCATGGCAACAGCGAGGCGTCGTATGCATGCATATGTACATGTAAGGAGAACACTGCTTGTTCACGGCTGTAGATTTTGACTAATGATAGAACCGTGCCGAGTTAGTCTAGCGTAGGTGTTTATTACGAGCGGGCCGACCCTTCTGCCGCTACTCCATATATATGCATACATAGGAGGACAAAATAGCCGATTGGACAAAAAAACTCATCATATTGCAGACTCCTACGGCACATCCTGCATTATTGTATAATTGTATGCGCAACACTGAGCTCGGGGTATGTGCGCGTCGACCCGCATACGCACGGTACCCATGTTAGTGCCGATCCTGCTGAGGAACTGCGGGCAGGCGGGTGGCCGCAGGAGGCGTCGACCATCCCTCGAGAAATTTATTCCGAAGAGGCGTCACATCTCACAGGCCCTGATTGGTCGCCTTTCGACAAGCAGTCAGCGTCTTTTGTGTGGTCCGTTTTTCTGCAGCAGGAGCGGTCCAGCAGCAGCGGCCGTGGGGTCCGGGATTGGAAGTGGACGGGCCAATGGCGAGCGCGATTCTGCTTCAGTCACGAGCGCAAGCCTCCGCAGCTTGCGGGCGGTCCTCACGATGAACGATGCATCAGGTTTGTGCGGCTGCCAACCCGACACGGTTGTGAACCCCAAGCAAATTGGAAGGCCCATACAAAACGAGAGAGGGTCGACCTTACAGCACGAAGTAAAGGGCAGCTCGACTAGCTAACTGGAGATTTCGCCCACACTGCCCGGTTGATCATGAAGGCATCTTGGGCCTGGCGGCTATTACAGATGGTAACGTGTTTAGCAAAGCAGTACATGTACAAATCTTCCTCCAACAGGCACATCGTGTCGTGCATGCTGTTTCAAGACCCCGACACACGGGTGGGACGGAAGGGTGCTGTGCTGCGTACAGGCCGAGTCGCTACTGCTGTAGTGCCATTGTACCTCCCTGCATCTGTTCTGCCGCTGCATGCTGTGTACTCGGACTCGAACTGACGTAACTAGAGGCCCAAGTAAGCACGGGGCTCCCATGCTCGCTGCGCCCTGCTCTTTGATTTCTCGCGGTGCCGACCGCTCCACAGCTTTCGCCACAGCAACTGGCCTCCTTCCTTCGTTTGCTGTCGCGCCCAGCTTCGCCAGGAGGCGCGTCAGCCTCGAAAGCGGCCGATGGCGTGTACGGCCACCATGACCCACCGGCGGTAGCAGCTGCAACACCAACAGGAGGAGGTGGCACACGGGCTGTTGACGGCGCGACGAGGGGCGCCGGTGGTTTTTGTGGTAGGGGGAAGGCGTTGCTGACCACGGGGGTTTCGCAGCCCACCGTTAACCCCACTTGGCCGGTTTCTGAGGCATCTTGGCTGCACGCGGATGCCCAGGCGGAAGATCTGGACGGCACGCGCCGTGAGTGCTGCGTGCTTTTCAGGCGTGCTTGGGGTGCATCGTTTTTGGAGGACGTGTTTTGTCTTGTGCGTCTTCTGCGGACGGCGATGCTTACGTTGTTCCCGATGCATGCTCTTCCATGTTGCTCCCATTCCTAGCTGCTGCTGCTGCTGCTGCTGCTGCTGCTGCTTCCGCGGTTGTATGTCTGATGACCCGAGGAGATCCCAGACGACGCCCTCACTAAACAACCCCGCGCCCAATGGTGATGCTTTGTTTTTGTGGAGGGGAGCAGTGCTCTTGCTGCGGGTCTTTGCCGTTGACCCGGACTCTGCGAGCGCCCGAGATCCTTCGCACCCAAGGCAGTCGCCGGCACCACCACCTGCTCAAGCCTCGGGGCATAGCGGGGTCGATGCCGCAGCAAGGGCAGGAGATGGCACGGCGACCCTCGGGCCAGTGGTGTGGGAGTGCACGATAGACGTCAAAGGGTTAACGGCACTGCCGGTCGGATCGAGGCTGTCCCACTTGTGGGCGCTGCCCGCGGACTGTTTGCTAGTAGAGATGTCTAACGGGGGCCTCTACGCCGCAGGTGCGTTTTTTTGTTTTTCGTACACCCTACGATCCTGTAGCGTAATTCGGGGGGCGCGCGGGAGGGTCGTTGTTTTTTTTGTCTGTAAGGGCGGTGGATACACCCCACGCCTAGTAGGGGGCTCTATTGGAAGGAGTCACGCCATTGTCTTGTCTTTTTACTGTTTTGTCTTGCGTTCCATTCCTCGAGAGTGTACGCGGTTGTCGTAATCACGTTGTTGAGTCGGAAAATGAAGCAAAACTCATCGAGGTCTGCCTAGAGGATACCGTCTATCTCCGCCACGGCACGCAGCGACGTACGGGGAATACGAGCGGGACCTCGGCTTGATGGTACTATTTGTCCACGCTGGTGTCAAGGCTGAGCACAGTCGACCTTTTCTCAGATGAACCAGTTCGATGCGACGCTACACTGCACATATCGCGTGTGCCGCTTTGCTCGCGTCTTGGCTCTGTTTGGCGATTTGGTGCGCCGAGAGCCTCCGCCCGTTTGCACGTGCCCCTCCATCTACCAAACCTTAACAGTCCTCGTTTCGTGCGGCCCCAAATGTACTCAAGACTGGGTAGTCCAAGCGCTGTCGAGCAACTCGGCGCTCCCTGAGGCCGTGGCGGGGGGTAGGGCTCGGGGCGGCGGCGGCGGGGGCGACGCATGGCGAGACGATTCTGACGAGGAAGACGACGAGGACCAAGAGCCCCTGGACGAGGTGCCGCGCAGTCAAGCCCAAAAGCAGAAAGCACAATATCCCGCGAGAGGCGGAGAGATGGGCACGCACCCTAGGCAGACTTCCAAAAGCTCGAATGTTCCACAACCAACAAGCCAGCGCCATCACCAAGAACAGTGGTTTTGGACACGTCTCGTCGAGGGCGTTCTGCAGACGTATCGGGCTCTTTCCGCACCCACGTCTCTGAGCCACTGCGCTGAAACCAGTAGTTTCGAGTAGACGGGCGCCAGCCGGAAGACCGGCCAGAATGAGTGACTCTCGGCTTACCGTTCTGTTTCGATTTTTATGGGTACAACATGTTGCTGTGGTTGTTGCCGCTGCTGATGTTGCTGGTTCTCCCATACCCTCGTCTTGTAAAAGTACACCCCGATGTTCTTTGGGTTCCGATCTGCCTGGCGAATCTGCGAATTCATTCTACCGATCGACTCGATTGGTTCTACCATTCTAAGGGTTCTACGCGTACCAATCGACATTTCAGGTGCTGCGACGAGTGTTGGTGTTGGAGGCCGAGGCGGAGAGGGGAAGGGTAGAACTAGCCGCTCAGTTGGAGAAGGCAGCACCCGGCGACAGAAAGGTCTGCGCTGCGGCTGAAAGCGCGTGCGCGATGGACACCCTGAGGTTGGAATTGACCATTCAGCAGGTACGGAAAAGCAGAAAAAATAAGGCTTATCTCGGACGTGTATGTAGCGTCCCCGTGCATCGCAGTTTTGAAGGGTACGAAGAAGTTCCTTGGTGCAATAGTTGTGTTTGGTTGTCTTCCTTTTTTGTCCGGCTTGATGAGTCAAACGCGGGGGTGGGACAAGCGGCGCTGGTAAGTATAGCTTCCAAGCTTAGAGGCCTTGCCAAACACTTCGAAAACGCCTAGGAATAAATTTGTGTACATCTCTTAGAGGGTGGTGTTATCTTGTGAACAGTCAACTTGGTGGATGGCTGCTGGGACAGGGGGTTTGGACGTTTCAATGGGAAAATATTCAACATCAGTCGGGAGGTACTCTCGGCTAACAATACCCTGCTAATGCCGCGACCGAAATTTTTGAATCTTCACCAGGAGTTGCTGGAGGCGGAGGAGGCGTCTTTTTTGAGGGAGAAACGGTACCTGGAGGCCGAGACACTGGCGGTTGAGGAGCTTCTTACAGGGATAGCCGAAGCTGAAGGTGATACCCACCTCGCCGCGTCAAACTTGTACCATTACAGCTATATCCTTCATTCTTGGTGTGGAACACCTTTTTTGTAATTTCTTTGACGATGTTGTGGCATCTTGGTATCTCTGGTACGCGGTGACGTCCCTTTGTACTCGATAATGTGTAGGTTGAATCAGCCCAATCAACAGACAAAGCTTCCCCACCTGAACACGATCGTTTTTGTTTTTTGAACTCAGTGCGGTATCCAGTCTAGTGCGATCGGCAGTTCTCGCGCCTTTAGCGTAGATGGTGTCTGCCTGGCCTTGTGTTCGCCCCGCAATGGTGCTGATCTTGGACGTTGTTCCTGGAACAATGCCCGAATATTTTGGTGCAGACGTTCAGTGCGTATGACGTATTCTTCGACATGACCGGCCGGCCATCTGTTACGGTGTTGCTGCTGTGTCATGGAGTTGTTGCCAATGTATTCGGTCTTGGGCAATATTCTTGTATTGAGTCGCGAGATTTGTCGACAAGAACATCCCCCATACATCACCCCATTCTGCCGGATTTGGCAAAGCGCTTGTTCAGATTGCTCCGATTGTACTGCTCCCAACCTCGCTGCAGAAGCTGCAATCGAAGACGGCCGACAGCTAGAGTCGGAGAAGAGGGAAACCTTCAAGAGCCACGTATTGTTGGAGGCGAGGAGGGCGAGGCTAACAGCTGAGCTACAGGTGCCTACCACAGTTAGATTTGCCTTGCTTCTCCCCACCATCGCATCCAAGGGAGACAGCTCACGGTTTCCTCGCTGAGGGCCCAATATATTAGGTTTAGGTAGTTGTGTCGTCGCTTCGTGTTTTGAGTTATTTGCCATGCTCCTCACGACCTGATGGCCATACAGTAGGGGGCCCGCTGTAGTGCCGGTTGAATAGTGCCGGTGCCCGGTATAGTGCCGGTAAAATTTCGGGACACGGACAGCGCCCTCAATAGTGCCGGTCCGGCACTATTGAGGGCTGGCCCGTTATAGTGCCGGTTTGGCGCCGCTGTGCCCCCCAATAGTGCCGGTTCACTACTGCTGTAGTGCTGTAGACACACACACACACACACCACAACACACGCCAGAGGACAGACGCCACACTGAAAAGAGTGTACACCTGCTGCTGCAGACCCTAAGAGCTCTACGCAGAGGCGCACGCACCATGCCTTGTGCGGAAGGTGAACTGTGCCTTCAACAGAACCGAACGCCGCAAGACCCTCATGGCCACATCTGCAAGGGAGGATGTGGCGGGCGGCTCCACGGCAATTGCGGCAGCGTGTTTGAGGACAACGAGCAGCACCGCATCTGCAGCGCGTGCGTCGCCAGGACTGGCAAGCGCAAAGCGACAGCAGCCAGCGGTGCGGGGGCGCGACCATCTAAACGCCTGAAGGACAAGAGCGGTGGGAGCAAGAAGGGGGGTTCTCGTGCGCGCCCGGACAACAACAAGAAGCTTGAGATTCTCAAGCTGCTGGATGCGAAGATCTCGACATCGAACCCGGACAGCCGGTCGAGGGAGAAGCGGAGAGCGCGATTCAGGGGTGGGCTACCATCGAGGACGACGATGAGGTGGTAGAGGCTCTTCGACTGGACGCAGTGGACGAAATGGCGGCACTGCTGGCTGGAACGCATGTGACTACCGGCGGTGGGGAGGAGGACGAAGAAGAGGAGGGTAGTGGCGATGACAACACGGGGACCGAGCTCCTTGCTCCACCCGCTTATGCTGAGCTGTCGCCTCACTTCATCGTCCTGGAAGCGGCAGCAGAGGAGAGTGGCAACGGAGACGCGGCGTTCTTCCTAACGAAAGCGAAGATGGCGATGATTGCAGCGCATTCCGCTAAGCGGGTGCGCCAGGCAGACATGAGAGAGTTTGTTGCTGCTACGGAGTAAAGTCGAGGGGTACAGCTGTTGTAGCAATGGTTGTTTGCTTTTGCTTCCAGTGCGCTTCCTGTCGTGCTTTTCTTTTTGTCTTGTTTCTTCTAGTAACATCCAAGGGGGTGCGCCAGGCAGACATGAGGGAGTTGCTGCTACGTTGCGAGGGCGGCGGGTATAACTGTGGTAGGTAGTAATGGTTGTTTTTTTCTCGCGGTGCGCTTCCTGTCGTGCTTGTGTTCTTCGGGTTGTTTTGATTATTTCTTGCAACATCCAAGGGGTGCGCCAGCAGGCAAACATGATAGAGTTGCTGGTACGTAGTGAGGGCGGGGAGAATGGCTGTGGCAGCATGTAATGGCCGTTTACTTTCCGTGCGGTGCGCTTCCTGTCGTGGTTCTCTGCTGTCTTTTTTTTATCTGGTAACATCGAAGGAGAGCAACGAGGACTTACACGTCCACTCATAGTACACACATATTCGATCCACGATCCACATCGTACTGTGTTGGCCCCGCAAAGCTTGAGCGCTACACCATGAAACCACCACCTCCTCAATAGTGCCGGACCGGCACTACTGAGGGATATTCGAAGCCTCAATAGTGCCGGACCAGCACTATTGAGGCACTATCCTGAATACTGCCGGTGCTCGCTATAGTGCCGCTTTTCCCTCTGGACACTACCCGGCACTATAGCGGGCCCCCTGCTGTATAGGAGATGGTGCCCCGGAACTGTCTACCGTAACCTGCCTGTTGTGTTCGCCTCAGAGCTACGTCCACTCTGTGATAGACCATGCACCTTATGATATATTTTCAACTCAAGGGAAGGCACCACTCACGCTAACCCATTAATAGTCACTGGCATTGATGCCATTATATATATAATATAGGTCGTCCGTATGTTTGATGCGATGTACCCGTTGATCGTCTGCGTGATTTATACTTGAAATGTCTCAGGCCATCTACCCCATCAAGTACCAGGGCAACCTGAAAGAGTTTACCATTCGAGGGCTGGAGCTTCCGGCCGACTTGTACAGCATAGACGACGAAAGGATCTCATCCGCACTGGGCTACACTGCCCACCTGGTCTGCATGCTGGCCAAGTACCTCCAGATTTCGCTGCGGTATCAGGTCATCTACAACGCCTCTAGGTATGTACGCGATGAGGCGTGTTTGAGACGGCCCGCGGCCAAACGCCGCCACAGCCTGAGTACGGATTGGCTTGAGGGCCTTAGCATGACTAGCACGACTTGTCTGAAGAATGTGACCACTTTCGTAGTGCCATGAACCACGTAGAAGCATAGCATCAAGCACACGTGAGCAGCTTGAGAAAGAGGCAGACCACAACCTGCGGCAGGAGGAGGGCAGAAATGCGATCGAGGGAGCGTCTATATTGATTGGCGTAACAACAACAACAACAACAACAACAGTCCGAGCACCCCCGCGCGGCGGTTGTCGAATTGGCACCGGCAGGTCTGCCGTCCGAGACAACGTCACCGGGGTGGGCGTAGCCTACCCGCTGTTCAGGAGAGGGGTAGAGAAGGAGAGGTTTGACCGCGGCGTGTATCTGCTCGGGCGAGACGTGGAGCAGATTTTGACGGCCAGAGGGGTGCCGGCGAAGAGAGGCGGCGGCCAACTGCTGCGAAACCTGGAGCGCCTCATGTCGATCGACGGAGCGTAGGCTTGGGGTCTGGTCTGTTGATGTGCACGGATGGGAATTGGTGTTGCTTTGTTGGCCAAGAGTGGTGTTCCTCCTTCGAGAATGGCCACTTAGCACCTGGTATTTGTGTTTACAACCAGTGCTCCTAAAGTGAGTGAACGGTGTAGGATTTGCATGCTCCAGCAGGCGTTCAACCGTACCTCGGCTTCGAGGAGTGTCAAGTTCGACGTGCCTCACCAGGAACATCCACGCCAGGAGGCCCTTCGGAACATTCCCCAACCCACCTCGAAAAACACGCTTAATGTCATCAATGCTTATCGCGCTCGCGCACTTTCTTCTATCGACACGCACTGTAACCCCAAGATACTTGAATGCTCGTTAAACACAACACTGCTTGTCTGCAAGTGCCGCTTCTGTCCATGTTCGCCCCTTCGTTCTAAAGGACCCGTCAGCAGTTATCCACGTTGGTGTACACGAAGAAGGATATCCCCAGCTCAACGAAGTTGTTGCCCACGTCCTTGAGGTTGACCTTCTTGTCCCGGTACCACTGGCTCACTGCACCGGGGTCCCCATCCAGCTCTTGCATCCACCCCCACTTTGGGTGGGTAACGACAAAGTCACAGGAGAAAGCGTGTTGATGATAGGCGGGATAGTTGACAGTCGGAGCTGGGGCTCGTAGCACAAACAGAGACGGCTTGGGCGGTCCGACACGTTGGGCAAAATAACAAAACTTGGAAGAACAGTAAAGCGTGTCTTGGAACCATTGTTGAGCATCTTAAATATCGGCTTCCACTTGCCTATTGCCTCAGCGGGGCCTTGGGTGATATTGAATACCCGCCTACTACTGAGGGCTGATCTCCGACCAAAACACCAGCAAGTTTTGCAAAGCACAGCACGCATCATTGGCAGCCGAGGTACAACAACAGTTCCCTAAAACATGGCGAGGCAATCCTCCCACACACACCCCGCTGATTCCGCTTTGGTCGGCAACGCACGTTTCCGTCAAATATTTGGGCGAAGTCGTCCTTGTTGATCATGGACAACGCCACCAAAGGGTTTCCAAGGCGCACAGCACGGTGGGCGGCATCCGAGCACGCCTTCGCGGCGTCAAGTCCCTGCAAAAAAAATGCGGAAGAGAGCGAAAAAGAAGATATTAGAGCAAAATAGTTACGGCAGTCTGCCATCGAACAAGGATGCAAGCAAGAAATGCAACAAACACTCCAATACCAAACGTCCACCTGGTACGTATCTACCGTACACTAGAAATAGCAAGCAAATACAGAAGGCGTCACGCGACCAACAAGACGCTTCTCTCAGACCCGCTCCCACTGTTACGCCACCAAAGCAGAGCGACAAGAACACGCTCGACAACAGCTGAAGCAGTTTACAGCGCAGCTAGGATTCCGTTCGAGGGTGGAATACGGGAGTGTCGACGCTGAAGAAACGGCCGGCCGTTGCTAAAAACGACCATTCGTTACTTATCGCTCAGAGTTCCACAGCACTACAGCAATAGCACAGGCCTTTCATTGCCGAAAGGCAAAACTAAAAAGAAGCAAGGACAAATTAAGAACCTCTTTTTCTCACCATCTACTTCCCATGACAGTCTACCACATTTCACATGGGACGCCACGCCAATCAAGAATGAAGCACGCCTCACAGATGAATCCGAAGGTACCATTGCAGTTTTCATGTTTTCCAAGTACCCATAATGTGCTCCTTTGTGCGAGCGATGACACATACACCGTCTACATGCACGCAACAGCAGAGGCCGCCAGGAGGGCTGAAATGGCCAAGCATGTACCTCCGTTGTGATGAGCTTGTCCAGTAGACCAGCGTCCACGACGCAGTCAGCAGAAGATTGTTTGAGCTCCGGCATGCCTCCGGTCACGTCCAACGCCTCGAAAATCAATTTCCTTGGCAGGGAGGCAGAACAACAGCCCCCAAATCAACCACGACAACAACAACAACACGACACGAGAAACGAGGGTAGTACACGTCAGTACTTTGTGCCATGGGCACAAGGTGGAAACAAGCAGCAGCGAGCAGCCCGCATGCGCAGAACAGAAAGCATGTCTACGAAACAGTCACACCGTCCAATGGGCAGCCGAACTCTGCTATGGTCGCACGAACAACAACCCACAGTGTGCAACACACAGCAGGACGAGCTGCTATTACGTGCCCTGCCCACAGACCATCGGAGGCGGGCACGAGGGGCGTGGGGGAAGTTGCCGAGGACAGCAGGAATGTGTCGCCTGCTCTCTCTCCTGACGGTTTTACGCGCCCGCTTACCCGGCAGCCATGTTCTTCGAGCAGACGGGATCTGCCTCGGCCGCAGTCTTCATGGCCGCTATCAAGTCGGGGTCGGAGTCGATGCAGCGCATGAACGATCGGCCATCTCTGTGACGACGCGACCGAAACGAAGCAGGCGGACACATAGATACGGGGGCATGTGAGCATCTTACGAGCGAACGACAGACACACGTGAAAGAGCTCAGCCTTCGCTAGCCACAACTTACCGAATCTTTCCTGGACATGTACAGCAAGTGGTGCCGACTACTGTGCCTCGGCCTCGTCAGGCCAAACGAACTTCAACGTGTAACCGTCTTCAAGTGAATCAATGAAGTCCTACTGTAGTTTCAAAATCATCGACGGGACAGTGATCGAGACTCTAGACTAAAGTCAAGTCCACTTGTTTTCTTGTAATGCCACACCTTACGAGCTATACCTGAAGGCGTCCCCAGCGGCCGGCCCCTAGTGTGTGGCATAAAAGTGCGCAGAGAGCGCACGAGAGCATCTGCTACATGGTCCGGGTAGGTAGAGCGTCTCACCGAGTGCCGTAGCCATCCCGAGAGAGCTGCAAAGGAAGCTCTGTCCCACACCCGAGCAGCAGCATCTGGTCGGAAGGCTGCACGTGCTCCTTGAGAAACGGCAGCACATCTTGGTACGGGAAGGAACCGATCTGTTTCCCACCGTGGCCGATCATCAACGGCACGTCGGCACACTAAGCAGCACGAAAAAACGGCATGCACAAACGCACCAGCAGATAGTCCTACGTCCTACGTAGATCGTCTCGAGACTCGTGGAATGTCGTAGGTGACATGGGATATTACAGTACACCCCTCGACAGGTATTTCAAAGCTCAATTACTCCACAAGGGAGAGTGGCGGTGCCGACAGGCGCTGGCACCGTCTCGTCGAGGGCTTTCCGACAACGTGCCCGTAATTTAGACATCCGCTTCGTCGTGGAGTAACCGACCTTGGGGTGCCGTGTCTACTACTGTAGTGCCACCTACGGCCAGGTGCAAGTTGTGTGCAATGGTAGATAGCACGTACTTTCGGGGGGTGGGGGGGATACTCGAGTTTTTGCACGCCTTAGAGCGGTTGACCATTGAGCACGACCGATTGGTCCCACAGGACCGATCACCGACGGTCAATCATTCGTTCCTACTTTGCCTAAGGTGTCTCACTTTTTCCCTGGCCTATCTTTCGTTTCGATATCACCTCCCGCCTATTCAACGCGCTCCCTATGCCCCAGTACAACTACTGTCTCCTGCTGGTTATTCCATGCCGCAAACAGCTCCATGTCTATCTTCGTTCTTCTCTCAGCCCAGTCATGTATATTTTTCTCTCCTTTTCGTACGACGGACATTCTCCACGTACATGAACCCGGTGTTCGCACTCCGAGCCGCAGTCACATTTGAATTTGTCGTCATCATCATCTACCTTCCTCAATCTTCGTCTACGCTCTCGAAGGCCAATGTCCCCAGTCTGTAATCTGACCTTCAATCTTCTGGTCACCCTCTAGACCTACAACCGTTTCCATTCACTTCCTTCGTCAACTCGAACTCCTTCCATACGTCATCTACAACTTTAACCCACTCCGTGGGTTGACTACCCCTTCTCCTTGTTTGCACACTTCACCTCCCAAGCTATTCTCGGCAACTTCTCCTTTTCTATACCGTACGACCGTAGATACACAGCCAAATTTCGAACCCGTCGTAGATTCCTTGCGTCTCTGAATTTTCTGGGGGGTGGTAAATAGCGTATACTGCCACGTGCCATGTAGCGTAGCACTACTGTACTGCTGCTACACGGTACACAAAGGAGCTTTGCATTTGAACGACGATATTGATTGAACGCAAACTCTCCCGCATAGAGCAGCGGTCACTGTTCCACCGTCGACCATAGGACGGAAAACAAACGTGTGTGTACAGCAGTCGACTTACATGCAGCAGCAGCAGGACAGGCATTGATCATGAAAGCCCGCACACAATAGGACGCATGCAATTTTGGTAACTGTTCTTGAACCACTCGACGTCTCCGCAGCTGACTGATGATGTAGCAGTCCCGAGCTCACCTCTGCGGTAGCTGCCATCCTAGTCACGGAGGAGGACGATCTTCTTCCAGCGTCGTGCTGCTGCTGCTGCTGCTCTACTCTCAAACATGATCTTGCACAGCTGCTGCCGCTTAACCGCTGCTGTGGCACAAGGAAGCTATCCACACCAACACCGCCCATGCTCAAGGCAGCCATCGCCACCACGCATTGTCTCGTTCCATTGAGACCCATGGTTAGTAGACAACTGTCGCCCTCCCCCTGTGTGAGAGCGAACAAGCAAAGCCAACCTTACGCCCCCAAAGCCGCACGCGCTGGCTCGCGCACGTATGTACGCGCGGAGAGAACGGGGGGGGGGCGATCTGGACACCATACCCAGTAGCGTACCCCCCGTCTCGCGTCTCGCGTGCTCCGGCTGCCAACGCATCCAACCTGGAGTGTCACCCTGCGGCGTAGGAGACGTCTCGATCAGCACGCAAACACTCTGCCCAAGGAACCCCCTGCGTTGACGCAAAGCAGACGGCCACCCATCCTCTCCCGGCACCTCGTCCAGTCGAATAGAGAAACGCTGATACTACCATGCACGGAGCTCTAGCAACCCTCGGTTTGGTTGTTGCCATGATGGCATCAGTCTCGAACGCGTTCGTAGTCCCTGGGCCCTCCCAGGTCGTCTCTGGGCGATCTACACGGGCCTCCACATCCCAGGTATGGGATGTCGTGGCTTGGCGGGCCTTCGTAGGAAACACGACACAGATTGGCAGTTGCAGTCCCCGGTTGTGCGTGCGCTGCATGCATAGGTGGTATGTTGCTTGCAACGACCCAGTCAGAGGCGTTGATGTGGGGTGACTACCTACGACGGCGGTAGCGCGCTACGAACACAAGCAGGCTGGGAGAGAATCGAGATGCCGTATGGTGGGTTAGGTTCGCCCAGACGGGTACTGCGCGTGAGCGTGCGAGAGGGGGTGTCCATGTTGAAATTACGTGCATGACACATTGCAGTTGGGCAGGCGAGAACCAAGCAACAAACGTGCTTTTCATGAAAAAAAAAAAAAAAAACGGTTTTGGCCGGTTGTACGCTCGAGCGATGCCAGCATTCTGTCGCGTGCGACCGTCGTTCCCGAAGGCCTGGACCAGCCCCAACACTGCCGACACCACTAAACTTCGTACCATCGTCTAGCAATCTAGCAAAGGCCCTTGATGACGTTGACCGGTAGATGCCCATTTGTACCATGCGAAAACAAGAGTAAACGAAGTGGGGGACACAACTGCCGGTTGAGGTTTTTGTTTTTCTGACCTGTCGTCCTGATGTAGTCCAAAGCGAAACATACACTGCAGTTTTGTCTCAGTGCCGAATAGGCTTGGGCGTTCTCACCTTCCTCATCGGCGTTCGTTGCAACCCGTTTTTCTCTGATCACGCGATGGTCCAGGTGATTGTGATGGGCAGGGGCGACACGCGCACAACGAAGGGCAAGCGCATGAGGTAGGTCTACGTGTTCTCACTTGGCTTGGTTTGCTTCACGAACTCGCACAAGCGGTGTCAGGTGAAAGTCTCCAGATGCATTATCCTGGGTCGCACACCATCCACGCATGTGCAAAACGCCTTCCAAGCGTTTCATGTGCAAACCTTCGTCGAAGAAGTTGTATGTCTTGCCCGCACGAATGTACCCGAAGCCTAGTCCTGGCCGCCCTGGCGACTCACAACAGTATTCGAACTCCTCGAGCGGCTTGATCGGGACTTGCCATGGTTCCTGCTTTTCATGCGCTACATACGCTGCTGTAGATCTTTTGAACACTCTCGGGACGGCTGCGCACCCTTTTGGAGCGAAACACGGAGGGCGTACATTGTACAGCAGTCAAGGAAACTTCGTTCTGTGAACCTCTAACGTTCATTGAGTTCGCTAGGGAGGCTAAACCACACGGTGCTGTAGATAAGATACTGCAACGGTATGTAGTGCGGCACCCGTTTTGCCGTGCCCGTGTTATGGTAGCGCAAGACCGCAGGCGGCCCAGTGGAGCTCTGGGGCGAAGGTGGCGCCCTATCGGCGAGGGACTTATGATAGTTGTGACCAAGTTTTGCGACATGTCCTGCCACCATGACTTGGTTGCAGTTACATGGTGAAGCTCCATACGAAATACATGCTGCTGAATCGATCGCCGCACGCGTCTATTTAAATAGTACCAGGGCGTACTCGTTCCCGAGTCGGGCCAGTTCTCTCTTGTCTTGTTCCTCACTGCCGTTCTCCGCGGTTTTCGTTCCGTGGCACCCCCCGAACCGACCAACCAGGCACTCGTACGGGAAGTGCCGTCCCCAGAAGCAAAAGGAGGTGGTCTACTTCGAGGGCGAGATCGTGAAGAAGGCGGCCCCCGTTGCGAGGAGGTGGGAGAACATCGAGTACGACGAGGCCTCCATGCCCAAGCCGGCCCCCGTCGAAGCAGCCGCCGAAGAGGTGACGGAGGCGGAGGAAGCCGATTCGGCTGTCGAAGAGGCTTCGGCACCCGACGGAGACGCGGAGGAGGCGGTCGCTGAGGAGGAAGCCGCACCGGCTGCCGAGTAGGCTGCCGTGGGGCAGACATGATTGCTACTGATAGTTTGATTGTACGGTTTCGAGGATGTGGCGGAGGAGGAGGGGTGAGTTGGATACACAGCAGCAGCCCTGATGCGTTAGGTCGGCGAGTCGAAGGTGTCCCGCGTTGTGGAAACAGTACCCGGCGTTCACTTGTTGGGGTGTCGAGTTGTGATGAAGAAGTACCTATGGACGGCGATAGACGAGAAGGAAGGGGCGAACATCCACCTGCGCATGGAGGAAGGAATTACTCCCCGTGCGATAATTTCGTCTTCCGCCGTGACAGAATTGTTGTCATCCCTGCGTATGGTCTTTGTTGGTGATTAGGTGACGTAGAATACCGGATCCTATATTTAGTGGCGTCTGTCAGCAGGGTCTTGTATGTCGAAGGCGGGAATGTAGCGTGCCACCTGCAGGAGGGTTCGTGTAGATGCGAGCCTCAAAAGAACCGTCTCGAACGGTATTAATGCGTTTTTCTCCTTAAGCTTACGGAGAAAGCGCGGTGCGTGTTGCGTCGATTGTAGACCATCGCGACACAATTTTTGGAGAGAAATAGTTGTCCGAACCGGGGTGCATGTAACAGTTTTTCACGTGGTCTATCCAAGATGAAACCAAAACACCGTCACCATCACGCTTGAAGACATGGTATGGTATGGAATATGGTCCGTTGCAGCATGCCCCGGTAGTTGTCCGGCCTTTAAAGTATTTCCGACGAACCTGAAAATAAATCTGTGTCGTGACCCTCGACCCACCACACCCGGTTGTTATGCTGCGATTGGCACTCCGGGCGTTGGCTGGGGGTTTTGCTTGCAGGCATCATAAGTGGGATGCTTGCACACTTGTGGAGTGCGCTACGTCTTGAATTCTTAGTCTTCCTTCCAACAGTTGTGCATACGGTACAGCAGTACGGGCGTGCTTGTCTTGAGCCGCCTTGTCGCCGTAGATAGATAGCACGCTGGCCGCTTTGCAGCATGCATCCCAGTGTTGGGAGGGCATAGATAGGCCATCGATCAAAATGTGATGACCCCATTGACACGTAGCCCAAACAAATCGCGTGCCACCTTGTTGTACAGCAGTGCACGTTTGATATTTTCGGGGGGGGGCGTGGCTCGCTGCCGCTACAACATGGAGCACGAAGTGGTTCAAATTACGTACGTACCACAGACCCTGCACACTCATCACAACAATGAACCCCTGCGATTGTATGATATGAGGTTATCTACCCTCAACGACGAAAGCACAAGGTAGCAATGACATCGTCCAACAAGCTGCACTATTGTAGCCCTGAGGACCCCCAAAAGCCTCTTCCTGCTGACACGAATCTCTGCCACCAGCAAAGCTATTATTCTACTTCGTATTACACTACCCCGCACTACCCCAGTGCGGAGTCCATTCAGCACATGCACCTCAACTGCCCACGTGACATGGAGGTACGCCCTAAAAAACAAAAGCGCCGAACCAACGCACGTGGGAAAAATGGATTCGATCGTGTCATGTCCGCCGTGCCAAAACGATCAAATGGAGGCCCGTCCGCGCCAAGGAACTCAAAAGAGCTTACAACACCACGCTATTGTACCGAGGTTTCGGTTTCGGTGTGTCTGGACCAAAGCCCATCATCTGACTTGGAGCGACGGGGGGCTCGTGACAGCACAAGCTATCCTAGGGGACGCCCATCGCCGCCACAAGCCACTCAAAACAAAGCCCTCTTCGAGCGCACGCCGATGTCTAACGGTCTAGAGCGGCCGCTGATACCCGCGTCCGCCAACGGGGGCGACGGGCAAGGCGACACGTTCTCGTGGAAAAACGCATCGTCAGGAGTTCCGGCCGCGCCCCCGGCGCCCGTCCCCCACACGAGACCATCGTCGGCAAACGAGGAAGACATGGCCTGACCCAGGCTCCTCCCCATGAGGCTCCCCACGGCCACGGAGCTCGCAGGGGTGACAGACATGCTCTCCGTGATGTACGTGTCGGCCATTTTTCTCGACATGCGGCGTGCCTCGTCATCCTCCTCCTCTTCCCCCTCCTCCTCCGAAGAAGCACCTTCGGAACTCTCACCCGCGTCGTTGCGATTCTTGGCGAGCCTGTCCTTGGCCTTGCTCTTCTTCTTTTTGGCGGCTTCATTTCGTTGGTGAAGAGACCGGGCACGGAGGCCGCTGGCGCCGTCCCGGAAACTCATGGAGCTCGCGTCCATGTCGTCGTTATTTCGATCGTCGTCGTCGTCTTCGGATGAAGAAGATTCGTCATCGCTGCTGCCGCTGGTGACGGAAGAGTCCGAGTCCCCGGCGCCGGCGGGCGTCCTGGCGCCCGACGATTTGGTGCTTCGGCGGCTGCTATCGTCCTGAGCCTGTCACAATTAACATCATGTTTGGGGCGTTGGGTGTCTGTTCATTGTAAGCTGGAAACGGGCTTTATGCGCTTGGGTGTTGAACGTGCCTGTTGTGTTGAGTTGTGGCGCAAGCGCGGTCGACAGAAGCGTTTCTGAGTTGAATATTCTCCGTGGTAAGGTGTTAAGGTACGGCCGTCGTCTCTTAGGGCCACTTCAAACAGACAGACCAAGCACAACACATCGTCACAAGATACACACTTTTCGACTTGTGAACCAGGTGTCTGTCTGCCTCTCCCACAAACCGACGGAACCACGCGAAACAGAAAACCGTCGACGCACATCAACACCACCAGCTCTACACACCGACTCTCCTTCAAGGCTCCAGACGCAGCATACGTACGCGGCGGTTTCACCCCGCATTGTGCGGGACCCCCCCCCCAACGCACCTTCCACGTGTTGTACATCTGGTCGATGTACACGTGCGATCTCCGCAGGAGATAGGGGTCGAACGGAAAAAACGAGTCAAGCGGGTTCGACCCGCGTCCCAGGCCGCCAGCCTTGGTCACCCGAGAGGGAGTCCACATGGCGTTGCTCGACATGGACATGGACGACGATGACCTCGGCGTGGAGCAGGAAAAGCTGGAGCCGACGGTGATGGTCTGCGACACCTGCGACCGCTGCGAGGGCGGTCGGGTTGGGGGGGACGGAACGAACGTGAGCCTGTGGTGATGCACGCGGCAATAGTTTCGGCGGAATATATGACCATCATACCATACCGCAGTCACCCCGGTGTGCCAAGACGGGATGACTTGCATTGTTCGGCAGAATTCGGCAGCGAAAACCCCGGCAAACGTAACTAAAGGCGTGAGAGCTAATGAAGCGCAGAGAAAGTCCGGCAAAGAAACGTCGACCCCAGTGTAGGGTACTTCGAGAACACGCACAGCGGCAGAAAACCCACCGTATGCACGGGCCTGCTGTACCGCCAAACGTACACCACAAAGCGCACGCGCTTTCTTCTTTTCCGCAAGCCTACCTCTTCAGAAATGCCTGCGAGGTGTTCCAGCAGATCTCTGTCCAGGTAAGCGTCCATGAGGCCGCAGCACAGCCGAGCGAACTCTCTCCGAACGGTGTCCAGACAGCGCCGCAGGGGATACAGCGGGCACGTCAATAGCCGCTGCCAAATCACCGCCTGAGACCGGGCCCAAGACATGCACCGCAGGGGACGCGAAACAGCACAGGACACGTTAGGCTAAATTTGAGAAGCCCGTCCGGTGTTGGCGCATCAGAGGACCGTTGTTACATCGGTAGGACATCATCGGCATAGCAGCTACAGATATCGGGCCGTGCACTGCAGCGGTGCTGACAGGTTCTCACTACTGCCTGAAATAAAAGAGGGAAAGGGAAACCGACGTCTCCATGCGAAACAGGATTCCCAAAGGACCAACGCCCACCGAACGGGAAATACGATATCCGAGAAACGAGCAAATATTCCGACCATGATCCCCTAACTTTGCTTGTTGGTCACCGCAAGCTGTCACGTCACGTGGACGGCCAAAGAAATCCCGCCTTACCTCATCGATGCAGGCGCATCACGCCGAAGGAAACATTTGGTCAATCCCATGGATACCCACGACGACTGCTACACGTGTTCCTGACCATCGTTCGTGACAACTAGAGTAATTCGACACGCTCCACACCCGCGTTCCCCTGGCACCTGGCTGTCGAAACCTTCCATGGCGGCGAGCTCGTCCCCCCGGAAGCACATCACGTAGAACGTCGCCTGGCACACCGAGTAGAAGAGCATGTGGTCCGCCGGCCGGCTCTTGCTGCTGCTGCTGCTGCTGCCGACGCCCACCCCGCCGCTGCCCCCGGCCCCCGACCTCGCGGCCATTGCCGACATCGGTGCCTGCATCACCCCGCCGCCGCCGTCGCCGCCGTTAGCGCTCCGGCGAGGGTGGTTTCCGTGCCAGGACTGTGGCCTCGCCCGGACGCGGGTCGCCACTGGGGTCTCGAACCCCTGAGGGGGGAACAGCGAAGGAGGTTGTGGCTGAGATAGCACGCAGAGAGGTTTGTAAGCTACAACTCAAGGTGCTCGATTTGTTTATTTTTTATTCGGCCGGGACGGCCGTTGTATATTTACAGCGGGTCGAACATAGCTTAGCGTTCCGAGCAGGTGTGCCTTCGTTACCAGCTGCTGCTGTAGCTCATCAAAAAGTGCCGTCTGTAGAAAATGCATTAGGACAAACTCTCGATCAATTCATGGCACTTTCGGGGCACGCGCCCATGTGCTCGGGTGTGACCCTGCATTCGCACGTACCGGGTGTTTTTTCATGCGTGGGGACTGTAAACTCCGTTTTTTTCTCGCATGGCTGGCTGGCGATAATGACTTTAGCAGCAATTGGGCAAACGAACATGTACGAGGTGCTTCCAAAATGTTGTGTCCTCTTCATCTTCACTGGCTTCTGTTCCATTGAGGCAAACCTTGCTTAATTTGTTGGTCGCCGAAACATTGCCGACGTCGCAGCTACAATTGACAATGACATTGATGACATTGATATGATCCTTTTGACACGCTAGTACACGTGCGGAACCCGCAGGAGGAATGCAATAGCGGCGATTCCGTGTCTCCTCTTTCGCATTCCAGACCTTACGCGGCCCCCTAACAAAACTTCTGTCATAAAAACCCTCCGCGCCCCTGAGGGAGCCTGGAGACAAGAAGGCCATGCTCATACCCGGGGTCTCGCGTCAAGACAACCAACCGTGCTTCCATTGGCCAGAAAGGACACGTAAGGTTAGGTAGGCGCGACCGAAGCTCAACTACCCTAACGGCACACAACACAACCCGCGCACCTTCGAGCTCGGAGTTCCAAGCGCTTGTACCGGCGTTGCTACCGAGGCGTCGGCGTACTGGTCGAGGTACTGCCCTGCCCAGTCCAAGAGCGATTGTACGGCAGTGGACACCAACGAGGGGTCCACGAAGGAAGCTCTCGCCAGAAAGCTGGCGAGGTACGCCACGCTGCTCTGGCGAGTCAACTGCCAAAAAACAAAAGAAATCACGAGTTTGAAGGAGCACAGGGATAAGCTGGCGAAATTTGGTGGCTGACGCACAGGGAGATAGTATAGGATAGGTGGACGCTGTGCTCTTCTTGTCCGCCAAACGGAGAGGGAGGGATGAAGAGCGGGAGGAGAAACATGGCCAAGAATACTACGTGGTTGGTCTCTCGGCAAAGCGCAAGAAAAGAAAAAAACTGCAGGTCACCAATGGGAGTGCTTAGGCATGTTTACTTGCACCAGCCTGCCCCAACTATGCATACGACGCGGCTAAGTCTAGAATTACCTTTCACTCAAGCGCATTGCGGTGCACATATGTAGCTGCCTGCGGCGACAGGGGTATTACGCCCAATCTCTGGCGAGTCAACCATCGTGCACGAGATCACAAAGACGGGGAAATGCATACCCCCTCTCTAGGTCTACAAGGGTTGATAACGACGCAGTACCAGCGAAATTTCTTGGTAGGTGTAGGCAAAAGCGGGAATAGCAGAGAGTATTGTAGGCATCAAGGAATGCGTAGAACAACTACCGGTTGTTGAATGTGTACGGTAGGCAATGCCGAATCTAAACCCATTACTACAACTACTAGAGGGTCCAACTCCTCTGCAACTACACTCGAAACAAACCATCGCGACCGTGAGCATCGAACAGCGTCGCACCGGTCATCAATCCGATCACCTAAGATTCTAAGCTCTCAACCACTCGACACGCTCGAACTCACACTTCCCCACGCTACCCGAAAGGAACAACGCACCACTAAACAGTTAACACGAGGTCAGCCCCTTCATCGAGGAAGAGCAAGCGCTGCACGAATCATCACCTTCGGCCGAGACTCATCCCCCAAGACGCCGACCAGCTTTGACACCAGAGCGTAGCCTAGTCCGCGCGCACGGCCGGAGGCGAAGAAGAGCACGAACTGCACGAACTTACTGCGGTGTGTCGGCAGAATATTCTCCTCGAAAACCAGCAGAAGAGACTGTCATGTCATGTCATGTCATGCCATGGGAGAAGGTCGAGAGGTGCATAAACACAAAAGGGCGAGAGCCGGGATACAGCAGCAGCATTAGCAACAGCAGTGGACAAGCAAAACAACCCACCAGAAACCTCGTACTTCCAAATGCCTCAAAGCACATGGTACACGCACCGGCTAGCAGCATGAATCTACGCCGCACATCAAGAGGGACTGATAATTGCAACTCGTATTCCAGGCCGTGCGTGCCCTGCTGCCGTTGCGCCTACTAGCGTAAATAAGATCATGGCAAGACCGCAAACTGACCAACAGGACCCCAACCTTTCGTTTTGCACCTTCGTCATCGTGGGCCAAGAATAATGCGAGAGGAAAACTAGTGCCGGCGACGCGTTGAAGAGGCGATCAAGCCTACCTTCAACAGTCGTGCGACGGGTTCCATCCCTTGCATCCCTCCCGTCGAACCGCCCCCCCGTCCCTTTAGGGTACCGCTGTCGCTGCCCGCCTCGTCTCCCTGCAAGACGGCTTGCGTCGCCGCAGCGGCTTCACAACCTCCATCCCCGGCCACAGGGGTTCCCAGTATTGTCTCCGGCGGCAGCGAGGCGTTCGCCGTGAGGCGCTGGTCCAGGTAGTTGAAGACCACGAGCATGACCCCGTCCAGCTTGTCGGCCATCTCGTCCACCTGGTACAGCAGCAGTGTGCATTAGTTCGTGGGTTCAATTGTCTCCCGATCGACACATGGTTGAATGCAAGGTCCGTAACTCCGAGACTAGATGCAAGCCGGGCGCTTCTACATGTACGGTTTCGCTGAGGAAGATAGCATTCCGTGGGCTCTTGTACCAGCAGCTGTGTTGACGCTGCCTTTTAGCTCCAAACCCTTGCTCCTTCCCTCATCGTGACGTCTGTCCTACATGTGGCTCTCTCCCTCTCTCTCTCTCTCTCTCTCTCTCTCTCTCTCTCTCTCTCTCTCTCTCTCTCTCTCTCTCTCTCTCTCTGCCTCTGTCTGTCTCTCTCTGTCGCTGTCTTTCTCCCTCCCTCTCTCTCTTCCGCTCTCTCTGCGATCACAATTTGATCATGTGAAGCAACGCAATCAGAAAGCCAGAGCTTGCTCGGTCTCATCCCCCTTAGCGATGCACCGACGGGTCGCTTGAACCGCCCTCATCGGCCGCTGCCTATTCGGCGGGCCCCCTCGATAATTCCTGCAACGACTAAGCTCACTCCTCTGATTCCGTGCAAACGCAAGGCGGTGATCCTAACCTCGTCGGTAGTCTGCTTCTTCTTGTCGGCGGTTCCGTCCACGACGTCGTCCATGGTGAACAACGCGTCGCACTCGTCTTCTTCGTCGTCGATCACAGCCTCCCCCGTGTCCATAATCTGAACGAAGGAGAGACAGGACACATGAAGAGCCCAAGCACGATCGTGTTTGTTTGAAAATACGCAACACGGAGATGAGAAGCACACCACTTGAAGAGCCGAAGCATGATCGTGTTGGTTTGAAAAATAGATAAATAACTGAGATGGGAGGCACACGACAGTACATGAAGAGCCGAGGGTCGATCGTGTCCGTTTCAACAGATCACATAGTGGGCCATCAAACATCTGATGCCTTTGTAGGTGTGGAAGGTAATGCGGAACTGTATGTAAGCATCATCCCTGGCCCACTCCGCAAACCACCAGCATCACCATCACAATCATGATCAACGAAACAAAGACTGCGAGCTTGCAGATAGATGAATAAATCGCCCCACGCACAATGGCATCACACATCATCGTCAACCAAGAAATGCTCGACAAACACACCGACAACGGCATCACTCCAGTCGATCTGGGCCTCACTCCAACCCACCCACCTTGATCTCAACGTCGATCTCAAGACCTTTCTCGATGATCAGCCTCAGGACACTCTCCTGTAACGTCGAGGGTAACGTCGAGGGGAAGGACAGCAAGGTGAACGTGATATATCAAAGCACGCCAACATTTGATTTCACGGCGCGCTATGGACTAGCAAGGCAATACGTAACTGCAGTCAATGCTAGTAGCAGTCTGAGACCTCACGGATGTACCCCATCTCCGTAGATTTTCGTTTTTACAGTAGTTGACCACAGGTAATCCCGCAATACGGTGAAACCACTTGCGTTGTTAAGAACCGCATCCCAGGAGACGAGGAGTCCACACATCAAGCTGTCTAGTGCACTTGTTTTGTGCTACTGGATATTATTACACCGAGGGTGCCAACGCCACTGTAGTGATGCCAGCAGCATTCCCTTGCATGCGCAAAGTCCGTTGGCAACGGATAGGACGAGTAGGCTCAGGAACATTTTCACACTTCAAGACAAAACGCTAACGCCACGGAACTTGGACACTCTAAACAATCATAATACAGAGTGACAGTCATTTGCAGTGCCTCGGCGGCTCGATGAGCGTGGGCGCGCTGGCCATCAACCAGTGTACAATGTCCGCCCTCAAACCGGGAAATATTGGAAGCAGGCCCGATCGTCTATACGAAAGGAACTAAACGTTGGCATCCTCATCAAAGCCTTGACATGCTGAGCGCTGCAAACAAGCTAGAGGCATACAGTTAGCGCTATCAAAGCACTTGAAAACTTGTCGGTAAAAAAAAAATATATATATATCTTTGTAACACTCACTATCTAGGGACTTGTGCAACAGTTATGGGCCCGTTCAAGAGCCCCTACACTATAAGCTATATATATAGCAGCCATTTGAAGCTCAACCCTGGGAACTAAAAACCCCAGCACCAACCGAACTAAATGAGACGTTCTAGCGTGCGAGCGCTAAATGTACAGCAGTACAAGTACAAGCATTGGCATTCTTACCTCAATGAGCGGGGCGTACTGCACGACGCGGAGTGCATGCAGAGCGTAGTCGGACAGAACCTCCGCCCTTAGCCTGCGGTGCGGGTAGTTCTGCTTGAGCACGCCGAACAGCTTGGACCGGCCGCTGGGGACGAGGGTAAGGCTGGCCTGAAGCGCCGCGTGCACGTTGTGCTGCCGTGTTAGCGCCGCCGGATCCACGTTTCCTTCACCTGTGGAAGGCAGAGTCATGGCATTGCATCGCGATTGGCACCAACCGCGGCGACCAGGGGCCTTGAGAGTCCAGAGGATCTCCTCTGTTTGAGCTGTACCATCCTTTACTGACACGTCCAACAGCTCGCTACATTCAAGCAGGGCGTAGTTGGTGCTTGCAAACGTGAGTGTCAGATCGTGAATAAAGATGTGGGATACGGGGTCGTGCGTAACACAATTTAACACAGACACGGTGGCGTCGAGAGTCAAGGCCACTTTACGTAGGCGCACTATCCACCATATGAATCGGTGCCCTGGAACGAAAAGCTTTACTGGTCCTTCAAACGCTAACAAAAAATCAACATATACATATAAAAACCCAATAACATATGTACCAAATACACACAAAAACCCAATAATACTATTTGTTCATGTTGGTGTGTTTCGTCGCAATGATTGGGAATGGAATGGTCTGTCTCACAGTCAAGATCCCGGGGGGTGAGGACGAGATTCCTGACGAGCATGTGCATGGCGGGCACCATGCAGGTGGAGTTGGCCGACACGAGGTGTTGCAGAAGGCCGCTGAAGGACTGCACGATCTTGTCGCTTCCTCGCCAGTCGAACCGGAAGAGGGCATCGACCAGCTCCTTGAACTCGTCGGGCCTAAGCAGAAACAAACAAACAAACGCCAACACAAGGTTACAAAAAAAACAGTAGTCTACACGCAGCAAGATTGATTAAGCAAACATTGTGAAAAAGTATTCAATCCGTGTTTTGGGGATAGGGTTAGGGTTAGGGATACTGTAGGATCTGCGTGTCCCCTCCCGATTATTTTTCTAAATACGCTTAAAATCCTGCGTAGGCGTTCCAAAAAAAATGTTCGTGACTGACGCATTACGAAGTACTTCATTTAATAGTAGTTACTGTAGATACTAGCTTGTGACCCTCTTTTTCCAGCTAAGACGAATCAAAGTCAACGAAACCAACTGTATTTCTATTCCCGCAGACATAGCAGTCCGTGAGGCCCATGAGCGCAAACTAGGCGGAGAGAGGATACCACGTGGGGGGCATACGAGGACGCCTTGTCATGAAACAAGCGAGGTAACGATAGGCATGTGTTGGGTTGGTATAACAGACGTATCCGGTTGGACTGGATGGCACGGATGCCACAGGAGGTGATGAGCAGAGAATGGGATCGGAAGACAACGCCACAACAATCCGAGCTCTTGAGGGATGAGCAGCTGTATCTTACCTCACACAGGACCACGCCGCAAAGAGCGTTGCGGCGTCATCGCCATGGAAACGCTCATGTGCATACCATACATGTTGACTCCCAAAACACCAAAAGCACTGCTGTGGCGGAAGCGCTTGTGTGCTGACGTGTCATTGTAGAGACTCGCAAAACGAGAGCACTGCTGCTTGTGCAGCAAACACAATTGCAGCATGAAAACATGCGGGGGGCTGAAATCAAACTCACTGCTGCGAGATGATGGTGACGCACTGGGAGAGTCCGAGGTAGAGGCGCCACAGCGTTTCCGGGTCATCCCGGGTGAGCAGCTGCGCAACCAAGTGCTGGTAGTGGTGACCGTCGCCCTGAAAGAAAGCATCATACGAATCGAACCAAGAGGTCATGATACAAAACCACGTCAATAGGATGTAGTCTGCTAGATAGTAGTATAGGGCGATGCTTCGAGAACCCTCTCTAGATCAATCGTTGAGGGTGGATCCTCCGTGACTGCAGCATCATGGCCTGTCGTCAAGTGCCACACCCCATGGGCAGACTTCACAGCAAAGCCCGTGCTACCGGCCGACTTTTACGAGGTTCTAGAGTAGGACAGAAATGCCTAGAGAAGCGACAATCAACCATCTTACGGAAAACCACGCACACCAATCTTGCGGGCAATGCTGTGCAGGGTGATAAATACGACGGCGCTATTTACGGGATATATATCTGATTGGGATAAGCATAAGCAGTCGGTCGCCCATGCCCAGGAGTTTTCGGGCACACCGTGAACCGACTGCTGTACGCACATCGACACTTGCACATGGGACAGGACGACAGGACAGACCCCGTCATCCAAGAGCAAACGAGAACGATATGAAAGCGCCAAACGCACCACACCAACAGCACCCACGAATCTGTAGGCGACAGCTGTGCATTGTAGTTCATTACAGTTCTTCGTTCTTTTTTTATATTTTCAACTCTGCCCTCGATGCTGAATGGTATTTACACCACCGCAATAATTTACGACGACAAATACTGCTGTACCGAGAGAAATCATGTTCTCCGTACAAAGTGTGGCTGCACGTGTAAAAACAGGCAACTGTGTGCATTATGACGAACGAACAGGCAGAAAGAGCAGTGTGATCCTTCGCGCCTGAAAGCGTGCACGTTGAGTTCTAGGTGCGCGCAAGCTTGGGCTGCCATAGCATAGCAGGCAAGCAAGCAACATCACTACAACACTAAATGAAATACAACACTGTCTGTTGCGACCATGGACCATCTTGCATCCTTGCGGGCGAACCTTTCGGCTCTGCCTGCAGCCCCGTCCATATCCCTCTGCCTACACCATTGCAAAGTGATCGCTCTCTCCTGAACCTGCGAATTTCTGCTTACTCCAGCTGTGGAAGACCGAACCCACCTTCGCCTTCATGGCAAGCGCGCTCTGCAGGAACTTAACTACCGGAAGCAATCCATCCTGCCTGTCCTGAGAGCTGCTGCTGCTGCTGTAGTCTCCCGCTTGGCTGCCGCTGCTACTGGCTGGCCGCGACGAGAGGGACATTTCTTCAGCACCGTTTTCGCACAAAACTCGCCGTTCGCGGAAACAAGGGACAACTAACCCCTTCCCCAGGCTTCAGGCAGCCGCAATGAGGTGTCTGATCACGCCCAAGCAGGGGCTGAGGCCCGTGCGCGACTGCTGGCTGTGTGCGATTGGATTTGTTTTAAAATGGTGTCATGACGTCATGCCGAGAGAATTTGCCTGCCTCGCCACCTCCCCACCAGCTCTTACACCAACTCCTTGCTATCTGCGGGGACCCCCAAACCGCGAAGAGGTTGCTGTGCATCATGCGACGTGTACATCCGGCAGAGCACGAGGGACGCGCGTGGCGTTGAGAGGAAGTACGCGGTTCCCGGAGAAGAGGAGAGGTGCGTCGGAAGCTACCTAGGTGAACGGTGTGCTTCAACGATGGTGCCGGTTGCGTTTCGACGTATCAACAGCACCTATATCGACCTCACATACAAAGGGATGATGTCGAGAGCTTCTTCATGCACAGCCAATGATTGGTCCTAACCGCACCACACACAACGACTGCTGTATCCGATCTCGCCGACAGGCGATCTGCATCCGAGAGCTGCACGACCCTGAGCGAGGAACATGGCGCGAGTATGGATGGCGCTGGGCTTGCTGCCTCTAGCGAGAGCGTTCGTGGCCCCGGCTGCCGGGTTGCAAGGGGCTGCTCTGTCTTCAAGCAGACAAGATGCTCGTGTGGCAGTTAGAGGAGGGGTGAGTGGGAGGAGAGAAAGAGCCGCGCCGCGGATGTCGATCAACGAGCTAGCGAGGGAGGTAGAGAAGCAATGCTTTTGTGTCGATTGCTGTTGATGGTTTGCGTACGATGTGCAGTTGCTTGATTGAGGGATTTTCCTCGATCGAGATGGGTGTCTACAGCAGCTGCAGACTATTCCTCGAGTACACGTTTCGACAGCAGTACCTGTAGTAGCTGTAGCAAGGCGCTACATACAGCTACGCCGTTACCTTCTCTTGCTCTGCACACGCCTGTCGTTGCTACATAGGAACGCAGTAGCGTTACAGCGAGGGGGAGATCGAACCAACCCTGCAACAAATCCTCCTGGCGTATAGATGCTCTCCGTTGATCTCCAGCCTCCCTTCATGTATCATACCGTTACCATTCCGCAGGCTTCCAAGTCTTCCACTACCGAGGCGCCCAGCCTAGGCTGGGATACCCACAAGGTGGGCTTGAGACTGAAACTGCCGCGTGTTGCATTGGGTTCGATAAGGCTCGGCCCGTGCTTGGTTCAAAGGCACTACTGCTGTAGGGTACAACCTATTCCTGCATGCACCCTTTTTGTGCGTCAACACAAGGTCTGTTGTTTGGTCTCCTATGGAGCACTGGAGTATGGGACAAGGGTCCCGTCTTGGTTGGGTACGACGGTCGCAGCAAGGTTGCTACAAGCAGTACAACGAAGAAATGAAGCAACGTCACCAAAGAGCAAGCCCACCCCCTGGCGTGTGCTGCTGTTCGAAAAACGGAGTCTTGCCTTCGTCCTTATGTGTGGTGTTGGTTTTGTGGTGCTAACCGATGCCAAGCGGCATCTTCATCTTCTTGCAATGTTGAATCTTTCTGTTGTGTTCACTGGTCTGCGGACCGCCACCAAACCCAAAATCACAAAACACATCCCTCGTGTGTGCGAGTGTACCTATGTACAGCAGTCAGTGTTGGATATTGGTCTGGCACAAGGGTTCGATACAACACGCCCATCGTATCGAGAAAAAAACACAAATACCGATATTTTGTTCGATATCCCGAAAATGGCTCGATACGTATCGAGTATCGATACTCGATATCGATACGGCTGTTTTGAAACCCTCAGGTTACAAGAAGAGCGAGCGTTACGCAACTACACGTACCCTGGCACACCCAAACCCTTATCTGAAATATACAGCAGTGCGCAAGACGTGCGCGCATGGTCCGGCGGCATGGAAGTAGTGGTGTTTGCCAGGTGCCAGGTGTGTGCAGTTGAACACCACGAGCACAACAACAGCGGGCACACGTTGTGATGTGATGTTGCGCATACAAAACTGCATCGTGCAAGAGGCAGGTTGGTTGTGTATAGCTGTGTCCACCAGATATATTTTACATTTTACAGTCAGTGTGCATGTGTGTATAGTGTATACACGTGTATACACGTACACACTATAACACCGCCGTACGGTTGCGATCGAATCAGTGCAAGCTCGGCTGCGAGCAGGAAGGATTTCATGACAAAAAAACGCGGAAAAAACTCGAACACTTGGTTTGATATTATCTTACTACCTTCAAAGTTATGCATGCAAAATTCCACCCACCAGTTGTGGGTGCCCAACAATCAGCAATGCACCTTGAGCAAGTATCAACTCTAGACACCCAACAGCCAAAAGGAAACAACAGAAAAAACATGGCGAAAACATTATGTGCGGAAATCAAACGCTTGCCAAACTTGAACACGACAGACATCAAATCATCACCTCTATTCATCACACGCCCAAGTGGTCGGACATGAAATCAAGCACACCTTGCCAATACGTATTACAAGTAGTCCCAAAACCAAGTTCACACAGCATAAATTGTCCGCAGGAGGTACGGCCTCTGTTCGCACTAATGTATTAGCTCTACTGCTGAAACTGCGGGAAACGCCAAACCTACGTAGTAAGGAGGAAAGCTGACTCTAACGGGGATGACTGCTACTACTCATTCGGCAGAGGCAGCGCTATCGCCGGCGACAAAGCCGAATTCTTGAAGGCTCATGTTGCACACCGATGTGGTTCTCAGGAGCTGAGACACAGGCGCTGTTGGTGTGGTGTGTGGCTGGCAGGGGCTGGTGTGTGTGTGGTGTGTGGTTGTGATGGCAGTGGGGGGCGACAGGAGGAGGAGTAGGCGCGTAGGCGCCGGAGCGAAAAAAGGGGGGTAGACAGCTGGGAAACTGACCCCTCCCCCGGTAAAACGGGGGCCAAAATATCGAATATGGAATACCGATATCGATACCGATACCGATTCGTATCGACAAATATCGGCGTGGAAACCGGCAATACCGATACTGCGTATCGACGATATATATCAGTTTTGTGTCGATATTCGATACCCAATATCCAACACTGACAGCAGTACAACAAGTTTGATTCGGACGTCGTTCTCCCTGCTGGCAGGGTGTAGGCCGGGCATATGAAAGAAAAACCGCGCTCGTATTGTAGCTGTGCGTTGTGGTAGGGTCGCACTTGTGTATAGTAGCAGCTGTTGCGATGCGCCTGCTGTTGGTCGGTGTGCACGACAGTCGTGCATGGTGTGGTCGTGTGGTGCGGGGTTGGGGAGGGTGCTGGTAAAGATCGCGCCAAGGGCTGTCTGTGCCTGAGAGAGGAGAGAGCCGGGCTGTCTGTGCCTGAGAGAGGAGAGAGAGAGAGAGAGAGAGAGAGAGAGAGAGAGAGAGATAGATAGAGAGAGAGACGGACAGAACAACTAGTTCAGGCAAAGGATGGCCCCTCTGTTGAGTCTATTGAGTCAGTCTAACCGCGCGTGAAGGTGAAGGTGACAACTCTCTTCTCTTTTGTCTGATTGGTACAATCGAAAGCAGAGGTGTTTTCTCTCCATGGTGTCGCCGATTGCTTACCGCTGTTGCTGTTGATGGCTTCTTTTAGACGATTGCACCGTCACGACAGTTGCTGTTGTTGTTGTTTGTTTTCCCCTTTCCCAGGCGGTGGAAGAGGTGCCGCAGTCACTGGTGCGAGAGCTGGAGGGCAACGACTCGATGAGGTCCAAGTTCGAGGCTTTGTGCCGCAGGGCTCAGAACGACATCTGCAAAAAGATTGAAGAGCTCGACGGGGAAGGGAAGGTAAGCAGAAACCCATGCGAAAGGTCTGACTGCTCTGGCTACATGTCGACCGGGTAGCATTCAAGTGTAGTCTCTCTGTGTTTGTTTTGAATACTTGCTAAGAAGGTTGCCCCTATGTACTTGTCGTGTAACGCCTGTTTGCCGATGTTTCATGTACCGACCCACAAACGTCGGGCCTTGTGTTGGTGAATCTACATGTAGGCACGGTCTGTTGGACCACTACGGGGCTATACCTGCTTTGCTTCACCTCGCCGCTGGTGCTGGTCTACGCATGTTTGTGCACCAAGGAAATCGCACCGTGAAAACTGTTTGTTGTCCCCTTTCCAAGATCGGCTTGCCCTTTTGCCGAGAGTTGCTTTCCCACGGGATCCGGCAGCTTGTCGGTTTGAGTGATGTACGGTGGGGTCGTTCGATGTTGCGACTCTGTGTTGATGTCGATGTGTTGATAGGCATGGTCACGATCCTCACGCTGTCGCTCTCTGCGAATGAAGATGAGGCAACCGCGTTGGTATGCATAGGAATCGAACGGTGTCGGTCTTGAGCCTCGTCGCCTACGCACGCAGAATTCGGCACCTCAGCGTGTGTCGGTTGGCGAAATCGCTCCGAGCCCGCGACATGGGATAGATGGGTGTGTCACAGGGAAGCGTCGGTGATGCCAGCTCCTGCATATCCATCCCATCTTATCCCCGATTCCGCTGTGTATCTACTGTATGGCTGTTTTCCTTGGGTTTCTGAAAACGTACATTCTCGGCGTCTCTCCTCTGCCGCTTGCTAAAACCATGACTTGTCGTCGTCATCTCTCCTCTTCTTGTCGTTTGTTGTGTGTTGTTCAGTTCCAGGAGGACGCTTGGGTGAGACCGAACGGCGGAGGAGGCATCAGCCGGGTCTTGGCTGGGGGGAAGGTGTTCGAGAAGGCCGGGGTTAACCTCTCCGTCGTCTACGGGACCATGCCACAAGAGGTACCGCAGTGCTTGAGATGAGGACTGCTTGAATGTTGGCGTGGAATCTCGAGAGAAGAGGCCTTGGTGCGATATCTAATGTAAAGTAGCTGGTCCGTGCTTAATCTCCTGCTGTGTGTAGACTCGCCGGGTGCTGTTACTGCGTTCACAGCAGTGCTGCTGCTGATCCTTCTGGAAGAGGTGCAAAAGTGCAAGCTTTCCTGGCGGTTTGGGCAACAGGCGCCTGGTGCTTTTCTTGCTTCCACGGGGCTTGGAGACCCCCCCACTTGCATGCTGGAAGAATTTTCTAATATTGACCCCCGAAATCGCATATGTAACGGATGCGGCTTAACAGGCACTGAGGGCGGCGACTGAGCGCGGCGTGGATCGCGCGAAGGGAATGGCGGAGGGGGAGAGAGTGCCCTTCTTCGCATGCGGGCTGTCTTCCGTAATGCACCCAAAGGTGTGCAAAACCTCCGTGCATGTGTCTTGGCTAGAATTCAAGCCTAACCGTATCTCTAGACATGCCGATTTGTGGTGTTTGGGGAGTGTTGTTTTTTTTTCCCGCTTGCTTGGTGCTTTGATGGTGGTTGAACATTCTGGTCTTGAATGATGTAGGTCGGACGTGTCGCGAACACTCGCGTGTAGCGGGTGACCCCGATCGGGGTTTTCGGTCTTGTGCCAAGTCGCTTAACAGCAGTCGGTTTCATGACAGCCTCGCTAGCACGCACGTGTTGCGCTTGGCGCCGCGTAACAAGTGATATGTTTACTTGAAAGTACTCAGGACGCCAGACGATGTTGGTACCCCCCCCCCCCCTCGTCAAGCCGTTTTTTATTCCTCCGCAACGGAGAGGATGGAGGAAACACATTCAACATTGCGCCGTCAGGTAGGTCGTCCGGTGTAATTGGTTGGTCGAGGTGCACCTTTTGGTTTATCTCCCCTCCCGCCCATTGAGAACTCAAGCGACAGAACCGCTGCCGTTGAGTGTGGAATCGTCATCCGTAACCAACCCATATTTGAGAGCGTTAAGGCAGGCGTTCAACTCCGCGTGCGAGCCAACGTAACAAGCTACACCGTGGCTGTTGGCGTTTCATTTTTTCTGCTGCAGAACCCCATGTGCCCGACGATGCACTTCAACTACCGGTACTTCGAGACCGACGGAGGCGTTTGGTGGTTCGGGGGAGGGACCGACATCACCCCGGCCTACCTCAATGAAGTGAGTGTGGGGAGAACCAGTACCGATATGCTCCAATACTGTAGACTGGGCATCACGAGTTACAGAAAATGCATACTGTAGACTAGGCTTCACGTGGTACAAAAAACATGTGGTATGCCGTAGACTAGACATCACGTGTTACAAAAGCGGATTTCGTAGAACGTGCTGTAAATCAATATTGTCGAGATTCCGAAAAACATCATGTGCAATTTTGTTTCCCTGAAACCACCTTTATAACGTGTTCTACAGAGTATGTGGAACAAACAATGCACACATGTCCCTACAGTTGGCGCATTGACACATGTAGTGATACATGTATTGATACATGTAATGATACATGTATTGATACATGTAAGAGCACCGGTGTTTGTGCACAGCCTGAGGCTGAACCTGACGGTGTGTAGGGGAGTGGCCAGCTCTCGGGGGGATGGTAGTTGGCCTGGATAGTCGGGGCATGAGACCTTGCTCCAAATCAAAAGAGTACGACTTGCGCTAGATTCCATTGTTCACGTTTCGATATCCCACGAAAGTCAGTAGCACAATCCAGACGAGCACTGTTGTATGCAGCGGCTTCCAGGATGATCTTATACTTAAATTCCACATGGCAAAGACTGGCGTTCAGAATTTACTGGACGACCCGCACACCCCACAGCTGGCAAGATTCACGTTCTGCAGCGTTGCTTGTGGGTTTATTTCGTTTGGGATCTCCCCCCCGCAATATCCCAGAATTAGTAACCTCGAAAGGTTTGTCTCGTGTTGTCCTTGCAGCATGCCGGAAACACCATTTGCCTTTGGCGGTGTACTTTTGGCGTTGTAGAGCAGGTCGGTCATGGCGGTACAGTAGAGCGGTAGAACAGAATCTCTAGCGTGGGCCGTGCGACCGACAACTGAGGCTTTAAGGGAAATAATTTTCGTGTCTCTTGCGCGGGGCCTGATCGCGCGCTGTCCAGGACGACATGGCACACTTCCACGGCACCTACAAGAAGGTGTGCGACAAGCACGACCCGGACTACTACGCCAAGTTCAAGAAGGTCAGTTGTGTCAGTGGCGTTCACCAGGCTACGGTATCTTCCCGCAAGAGCAGCAGGGAGAGGTGTGATTGCCCATTTTGGTGTCCTTGGGGACGCCGGCCTGCGGAGGGCCGTATAGGTCTGGTTCTCCGTCTAACAAGACGTCCTACTACCGCTGTAAGCCTTGGCCGGTTGTGCAATTCGTCGTTTTGAGCGTGTGCTGGCTGCCGAACGAGGTTGTGTCCGGAAAATGGAAGCGTGCTGTTTCGAACCTAGTCCGAACCACACGCATGGGTTAGGGGACAGACAGTATTGATGCTTCCCGTGTCTTGTCATGTCCGAGAATATGGCACAAATCACCAGACGCAAACAAGAACAAGCAGCGTTGCCTTCGATCTTTCGATTTTCAAGACAGCCAGAGACGTCGCCTGCTGTGCCCTTGCGGTGTACTGACGTGAACGTTCCCCATCTGAACTTTGCCCTGCACCAGATTTGTTTCGCCGTTGTTTGTTGGGAGCGAGCTCGTGAAGCATCTTGAAGCATGGCGTGCTGTTCGTACCGTGCGAAGATTTCTTTGAGCAGTTCACCCCCGGCGGTGGCTCCGAGTTGCTCTGTATGCTGGATGAAGCCGATAGTTTGGCGCTTCAACGGAATAATTAACTCAATCGTGCACTTTGAGCACCCGCGGTCAACGGTCGCAGCCGACGCGCAGCACCGCCGTTTCCACTACCTTTGAGTCAGTGGACTACTGCTGTACCCTCCTTGTCCCACGTGGTCAGCCCTGAGGCAGACCGGCGATAAAATTGACAGAACTACTCGCTTGCTCTTCCCCGCTCGCCACTGCTGGGGTTTGGGTTTCGAAGAAAGCTCTTACCTGCCGTTGTACGAAATCTGCAAGAACCCCCCCCCCCCCCCTTTTTTTTTTGCCCGTATGCCTACGGCGTACGTCCGTTCTGATGGCGTTTTTTTTTTGTCAGTGGGCGGATGAGTATTTCGTAATCAAGCACCGGGGTGAGACTCGTGGACTTGGCGGGATCTTCTTCGACGACCAGAACGACAAAGGTCAGCCAGAGGGACTTAGAGAGGGAGAGAAGAAACAGATACAGTACTTCGATGTAATACAGTAGTATAGAGTTATATATATATATATATAGAGAGAGAGAGCAAGGGTTACAAGCGAGAGCCCAATGTGTCGTCAAAGCAATCATGATTCAAAACCACCCCTAGACCTCCAAGATACGGAGCGCACTACACTGAGGACTACCGTCGCTGGACATGCTCATAGGATATTGCGACAGCGGCACTCGCGTTGTGCTTCACGGTTCGTTCATTTCAGACCCTTTTTGCACCCTTGCAGACCCTCTCAACCGTTTGTCGGGTCCTTTATGATTCTTCAGACGCTTCCAGACCCCTTCAAATCTTGTTTGGGTCCTTTATATGACCCTTCAGGCCCTTTCAGGCCCTTTCAGGCCCTTTTAGCACATGGCCGATGGCACAGCAGGCACAGGCGTTCAATAGTTGTGCGTGTTTATCTTCTCCCACGATTGCCGAGTGAAGGTCATGGTCATGCAACTGGAACCTCCTGTCTGCGACCATGAATTAACGAACGATGTGATTGTATGAGTATTTGTTTTACTGACACACTGATTTCAATAATGCTTGCATCGCCAAGTAGGCGGAGACGGAACCTTGTCAAGAATAAATCCAACAATGGAATTTCGCGGTCCTTGTCTGCAGGATAGACCTTGCGGAGGTACTGCGCAGAAAACTCGACGGGCCCGAAAGCGACAATACCATTCAATGTCAACATACATTCTAGTACCCAGAGAACTCGATGAATCCGAAAGCGACAATATCAATCAATGTCATCATCAACTGCGCAGAGAACTCGGTAAGTCCGAAAACGACGATTACATTTCCAAAATTCTTGTCAGTCATGTCATGTATCACTTACCGTCAGAAACATGTTAACACCTTACCCATGGCCCCTATGGCAGAATGCTTCAACAAGCATGCAGACAAAGAGATGAGTCAGTCTCATGAAAAACAATTCCCGCAGTTGCCGAGGCATCCGAAAACAGCTCAAAATCGCCCCGCATCAAGAAGCTCATGCCGTGTGGGTACCGCCTTGTTCTGTTTGCCTCTCCTGCTTTCGCCTTTGCTTAAAGAGCCGGATACCCACATGGCTTTCTCTGAGGACTGCCTGAAGGCAGTGCTAGACGCGTACCCCCCCATCGTCGACAAGCACAAGGACGACGATTTTACGGAGCAGCAGAAGCAGTGGCAGCTTATGCGGAGGGGAAGGTGGGTGGACCCGACATGTGCAATGCGGGAGCTCCCCTCGCGTCGGCGGCGTAGTTGTTGGTATTGTTGTTGTTGTTGTTGTTGTTGTTGTTGGTCTGTGCAAACTACATGTAGGCGCATTTCCGCGAAACTTGCTTTTCGCACCTCTCGGATTGACAGATGAGATGCATTTCCACGACGGGTCGCGAACATGTCGCAGGGGCCCCTAACCAAAATTATGTCATGTTCCTTTTTTGGAGCAATTTGTAGGCACTCTTGATGTGCAGATGCATGCCTCCGTTCGACTCCTGCTGTGCCCGTTTTCTTCCTCTCCCTTTAGTCGTATTGCCTTGGCGAGGATACGTATCATAGCTTGGTTTGGGCAAGGGTTACGAACCCCCCCTCTCTACTTGTCATACTGGTATTACTCATTCTATCCTCGCGGAGGCGGTTATTTCGCTTGCCCCACACCCTGTACCGGTGTAGCATACAACTTTCTAGCGTCAGCAATGCCCATTTTGTCTCTCTCTCCCCCCCCCCCCCCTCCCGGCCCTCGTCTCTCCCCCCGGTTCATTTTCGGCGTGGTGCGTACCACTTATCGGACGGGGAATCAACGGCATTTTCTTCCAATGGCTGGACCGAATTGCGTTCGGGTGTAACGGATGACGAATTTCTTCGCAATGGTTTCTGGCGCCACGACATCTCGACCACGACCACCGCTTCGGGACAACCACCAAACCCCAACAACAAACAAAACAAACTCACACGCTTCCAACAATCAACAAGGTATGTCGAGTTCAACTTGGTGTACGACAGGGGAACCGTATTCGGCCTCCAAGACGGGTGGCCGCATCGAGTCCATCCTCATGTCTCTGCCTGAGACGGCGAGGTGGGAGTACGACCATCAGCCGGAGGAAGGAAGCAGGGAGGCTGAGATTATGGAGGTGTTCAAGACGCCGAGGGAGTGGGTGTAGGCTGCTGCTGATGTAGGCACGGACGCTATCATAGCACGGGTGCACGGCCGAAGTGCGGTGCAGGCCGTTCGCTGCAACGTTCCTTCTGCTGCGCGGTGATCTTGCCGTGCGCCTTTTTTGTCTTGTTTGAAAGTGGCCGAGGGAGGCTTGGATTGGTAGAATACTGCTGCTGCTTAGTCCTTCGGTGATGGGAGTGCGGGGTTGCAGGCCTGGAAGCTACGGCTGGGATGACGCCGTCTCAAGGCCCCGCCAGCATGTGAGTGTGCCAGTCGGGAAAGTTTTGCCATCATTGTTTGGGAGTTGGGCGCAGTCCATGTTGTTGTAAAAAATGGCCGACAGAGCATCGACCGGCTGGTTTTCAAGAACGACGTCCGCGTCGTGCCGTGCGTTTCATTCATGCATCAGATATCTCGTTTTGGTTGCATACACGTCCACGTTGGTTTTCGTGGACGGCCGATTTTGTGCGCAGCAGTCTTGGTCGATGATTGACAGCAAAATATATAATCGCGTTCGTGTGGTGTTTCGGTCTCATGAAGTCCAAGGGGTGAAGCGGAAAACAACGAAGGTACGTACATCTTTCGTGGTGTGCCCAAGGCGGAATATTTGTGCTACAATTTTTGCGTTCACTCCGCATTTCTCGCCTTCTTTGGTATTCTTTGGTAGTTGGAGAGGGCGCATCTAGACGGTTCCACACGCGCTGAGGGAAGAGTTGGTGTTAACCTCCCGCCATTAGTCGTAGGTGGCATGCCGGTATGTGTTCGCCTCTGTGGCCTCTGATCGGAGTACAATGAGGTTTCACGTACGGGATTATCGACAAGATATCGAAGGCGTCGTCTCCACGCCGAACTGAAGTAGTATTCAGGTGGATTGGGATTGAACTGACCGTGTTAGTACGCATTGGAATCACGTGCGATAAACATGGTTCTGGCTGCAACTGTGCCGCTTGAGTCGGTTTAGGGCCGTACCGTGCCAGGCGTGTTTTCTTGGCTGAGAGTGGCGAGCATAGCTGGCGGCAATCAACGTGTGGACCTCGAGGATGGTACGTCCTGTAGGCTCCACATTGGCGTTGAGTGCACCAAGGTGATTCACTCGAGGAGATGCCCACCAGCGTCTACGGAGGCATGCAAGCACCGTATTGAGAGGACGGCCCTGGTCTTAACCGTCGCTTCGATGTCCCTCGTTAGTATGAACACGTTGGGGGCAGAAGATGAACAGCAGCATATTCTTTTTCAACCACGCCAACCAGGCCGGCAAAGTACATCGAAGGGGCATGCCCTCTGCACCATGAGGAAACACGGTACCCGGCTGCCCACGCCCTTTCCATGTACAATGCACCCCTGGGCATGAAGGCGCAGCACACCCGCGCTCAACCTTTCGCGGAACAGTTGGCATCGTCCCCGCCGACGTGTACGAACCTCACACGATGCGCGTGTGGCGGGGTCATGCACGATCTCCCTACACCAACCCACAACTAATGACGTTATGTAGTCAGACTGCTCTATTCGCGAACGGATTCTGAATCAAATCACACAGTTGTATTCAGGTCAACATCAAGGAGCCGACGAAGGCTATACTGTAGGAACTATCCGCCCTTCCTGATGGCGAGGGAATGAGCTTAGCAAGCGAGAAGGCGCGGGCCTGGGTAGCGGGCCACTAGTCCAGGCTGAAAATAGGGTGCCGTTGTATCCGCGGTGCCGGCGACTCCTCTTGGCATGCAGCTGGATATTCACGCTTAGCCAGATTTGCGGCACAAGCACGAAGGGCACACAAAACATGAGGAGTGGCGCTCCCATACGGGGTGAAGACGGCCATCAGAACAACTGGCATGGACGGCAAAATCAGGCCTGCCTGCCGTCACAATCATAGTACGTTTGACCTTTCTTTTCGCTTCCATTAGGGTCCGGTACCCCCCGGCACCATTCTGGTCTTCTGCCTTCCCCGCCGATTGGGACAACGTCTGCAGCTGCAGCGAATTGTCAATGGCGCGCATCAGAGATCTCCCACACGCCCAGAACACTGCAAGGATCACTACGCCCACAAAAACACCTGCTCTGCGTCCGGTTGCGAAAGCGGGGAAAGGGGGCTTTAGTCGTTAGGGGAGCAGGAACATGGTCAGGATAACATGGATATGTCACCCCACACGCGACGTGTTTGTTTTCTGTGTTTCTGTGTTGACGCGTTTTGTGAAGTGGACCCAGAAACGGGGACGCACTGTAGTCTAGGCGTTGTTCCTGTTTTTCATAGAGTAGGCCCCCCCCTACATCCGGCGAATTCCATGTTTGTTTCGGAATTATCCACGACACATGATGCGCTCCCTCCTTCACCACCCTCCAACTATCATGAAGCGCATGGCAGACTCGGTGTATTTTGCCAACGCAAGAACAACCGCGATACCCGGAGTGAGCGACATCGTGCGGCATGCCGTTGCGCACACTCGTGGTCGTTCAAGCCAGGTAGATAACGCGACAATCTCCGGGCTTTCTCTCGTCAGTCGAGGATCGTTCCTAACGGCAAACACGAACACGATATTTTGGAAGGGGAGATACACAATAGTTGACAACATCAATGAATGAATGTGTTCAAGAGCATACGGCGCAGGAGGAATCTTACGCATCCCTACCCAATTCATGAACGGACGATCGAAGGGTGTGGTTGAATGTACAGTCTGGAACGACCGGTTGCTGCGTCCTCTCACGAAGTACGCTCATGAAGGCCGGTTCACCATTTTGTACGGCATCCCTACACTATACATCCACGGTCTCGCCGCAGCGTTCATCTATCTATGTGCCTGTTACTCAACGTGTACATCCACATTCGGCAGGAGAGGATGACGGATCCGATAAACTTGGGGGATCCCATTTATTCGCCATCACCACCACGAAAGACCACCGTAGGACGTCTGCGAGCACCAGGGAGACGGCAGCCACGGTTGTCGTTGTGGTATGAAGTTGCCAGTTGCACTGCTCTATCGGCGAAGTCGAAGCCCGTGTGCATTGTTTGTGGTAGTTGGTCTGCTCGTACGGCGTCGCGCAAGCGGTAATAAGCGGCAGAAAGACAGGAAGAGAGAACCGAAAACCGGCGTGTGCACTGTGTATGTATTTGTAGACAATTTGTCAAGAGGAAAACAAAAACTGTTGTACATGACCACCCACCCGTGAAGGCTAAAAAAAGACTCGAAATGCGCCCAGTACCCAGCCGGTGTCCCTCCACTCATTGCTAAGACTTCAACACATCCCCTTCCTTACATGGTTATGTCTCGAACGGGATCTTGAGCGGGACGTACGTGTGTTAGGTATTGATATAGGAAGGTGCGATGACGGGGGGGATATTTTCAGCGGACATCTTTCAGTTGCGCCCGTACGCGTACGATCTCCCACACTCTTTGACAAATGTGTACCGCTTCGATGGAAGTATGTATAAATCACCTTCCATGGAATTGGATCTACTACTTCCTCCATGGAAGTGGTATCAGCTTCCATGGAAGCTACACGTTTTGTACTTCCACGGTTGTACTTCCATGAAAATTCCTCCATGGGAGTAGTATCAACTTCCTCCATGGAAGCTGCACGTTTTGTACTTCCACGGTTGTACTTCCATGGAAGCGCAAAACGACGCTTCTTCCATGGAAGCGATATGCACTTCCATGGAGTTATAGATATGAAATGTGGATGTGCCGCTTCCATGGAAGTAAACTTCCACGGAAGTTCCATGGAAATCCCATGACAGGAGAATAGCTTCCATGAACCTTAGGCTTTTCCATGGAAGCTATTCAAAACAGGTATAGGGTTAGCGTCAACGGTCTTTTCGGGGTTAGGGTTAGGGTTAGGGTTAGGGTTAGGATTAGGGTAGGGAAGCTGGAATGAGCACACGTCTACATAGACGCTTCGGTGGTGTTGCTTTCATGGACGTCTCGGTGCTTCTGCCGAACGAAGTCAGTTTCGACCTCTCTCTTGTCACCCACTCTCATGGAAGTTGCTTGATCGTGCTTCCATGGAAGTAGCAGACATTCTGTCGAGCGACGAGCTTCCATGTAAGCTCATCGCGCTTCCGTGGAAGTCCGAAATGCGACCTCCATGGAAGCAACGAGCGGTTGGTATCGGGTGCTTTATCATGGAAGCGGATCATCTTCCACGGGAGGTTTTTACCACTTCCATGGAAGCATAATGGAAGCTGGAACCCGAAACAGACGAACAGATTCCATGGAAGTCACATCATCATCCATGGAAGCCAAATTCACTCGCATTTTTTTTTTTTTTGTCTTCACTTCAAATCAGCGCTCACTGCACTACTAGTGCCGTTTACTCCAACCCGTGGTCACACAGAAGAGCCCCTCTCTCCCCTCCCCTCCTGCGGTACTTTGCCTTCGATTTTTAATGGGAAAAGAGTTCAGAACTCTCTTCCCTCTGTGTACACACGAACTAGCGCTATCCACTGGGCCAGAAACGGAAGCGAGAGAAAAACTCACTTTGCAAGAAAAGCTCGCTTACGCCGGGATTCGAACCCCTGACCTGACCTCTAGAAGGTTTCGAGGATACCAACTAGACCACCGGGGCGAGCGGCCATAACCCTAACCCCTAACTCGCATGGAAGTTAACAAACTTCCATGGAAGTGACAGTGACTTCCATGGAAGGGTTTACCACGTCCATCGAAGCACTGAACCACGTCCATGGAGGAAGTCGAAATTGACGCCCATGGAAGCTCATTTCATTTGTCAATGTGTAGGTTACCCTACGTGTTGACTTGTTACTCAATCTGTTCGGCCACAGCTGGCAGTGAATACATTTCTTCCTTGCTTGGCGTTTTGGTAATCGATTTCCAGCCAGGCTCTTCTGCACCCCCTCAATCCATCCTATAACCATACCGTAAGGACAGTATGGAACAATCGATCGATCGGATGTGTTCCACACCAAGCCACTGAGCGCACAGCAGTACAGGTAGGTATGTATATTTCAAGCAGTCGTGATCCTTTGTTGAGGGCTATGAACTCTGCTGTTGCCATGCATAGACGGCATCATTTAAGCATTCATTAAATTTTGGAGCGCCTCACTCCCTTCAGTAGACTCCCTCCAGTATTTTCAACATGCAATGTGCAGCTACCGTAGGTTACATACATACCTGTCTAAGTAGGTGGTAGGTCGCATGGCAAAGGACTGCCACCGAAAGACCCAACCCAACTCCCCCGAAAACAGTATGCACCTCTCCCGGCACACAAGATGCGCGCCCGAGAATGTTGCGGTTGGATCAGGTGCCATCGTCGCACACGCACGAACGAGCATAATCCGCCAGTGTCGAGCTCAGGGTACCCTGAGCCTCTCCAAACGAAAGTGATGCAGATGTTCTCGGTACACATAGTACTGCATGGATGGGAGGATGACGCTACCTCGGCCAGTTCTGGTCGACCTTGAGAACCGAGGGGTGGCACCGGTTCCCTTGATTACCACCTTGGGCCTAGCGACACAGAGGCGGCCACCACGTCGGAAACGCGCACGTCACGTTCCCTCGTTGAAACCACTCGCCGTATCCGACATGATGACTACTGCTCAATGAAATTTTGCCTATAGGCAGCAGCACGCAACAAGATGAAACCTCCTCATGACGGAACGACTTACACAAGCACGAAAAAACATACCACCGTAGGATGTATAGAGGTGGATTGTAAGTATTGAAGTGTGCCAATATTCACTGTTACAGTAGTCCCGGTTCGACGATAAAATGCGAAACGGCTGTGCACGCGGTGTAGACTAGTTAGTCGATGATTCAATATTCGGTTGTTGTCCGGTTCGTCCAGTTCCTTTCGTATTATGCGCTCAAACTATAGACTTTGACTATTATTATTATTGAACAATGCGATGTAGGCCACTACCTGTACACGACATTGGCTGCGACCCGTTGTCCGGTTCTTGGAAGTGCCCCTTCTTTGGTAATTGTACT